CCATCGATCCCAGCATTGAAGGTCTGGTAAGTAACGGTAACGTCGATAGAGAATCTGAAGTCATGTTGAATTTTGGGTAACTGGCATCATCATTTTGTCTATGCCACAGTGTTGTAATATCCTGCTGCGTACCGCTGTCTTCTTCTTATGCACGCACAGTAGGACTAACCTGTAAAATCATGTCTCCATTCATTTCTACTCGACATAACTAACACTAAACATATCTGCCCAGTGCTACATGTGAATGAGCAGATTTTTCACCCAGCCGCTGCAAAACTGTTAATGAGCTTCTAGTGATTTATAACTTTTAAAATTACGCTCAGTGTACACACTAAGTCCAAAAACCAGGAAAATGACAATGTCAGGGAGGTACTGCATCTGGGTCTGCCAAGTCATATGGTTCTACATTATGGTTATTAGGATGTCCAAATACTGTTTCTTGCAGCGACATTCAATTTCAGCCGGGTTACTTTTCTTTTTCTTTTCCCTCCTCTTTCTCTTTCCTTTTCCATCAGATTTTACTAATTTAAACAACTTTTTGGCCAAACTAATGAAAAAAGGTAATTGGGTATAATGTAATGGTGGTGATGGTGTCAGGGAAAATAATTCCTTCCCAAAGAATACGGAGTCAGATAGATGTGATGAATCATTCTTTATGTAATGTGAACGCACGGTTACTCTCCCGAACTCAGCACTTCCTCTCCTTAAACACAGAACAAGTACAAAAAAAGCCAATAATTGGTAGACGAAGGAAAACAAATGGCATTAGTATTAACATACACTCTGAGAAAGGAAATGCAAATGTATAAGGCATCAAAGATGATGGCGCAATGGGTAAGACGGATGCCTTTGGTGTGAGAGACCTGGGTTCAATTTCCCACTGTGACCCATCTACCAATGTGTCCCTGAGCAAGGCACTTAACCCCCAGCTGCTCCAGAGGTGTGCGACCTCTGACATGTAGAGCAATTGTAAGTCGCTTTGGATACAACTGTCAGCTAAATGAATAAATGTAATGTGTCTATGTTAAAACTCTCACCTACATGCCAGCAGACGTTTATCGTAAATCAGCCTTTGATTAGAAACCAATGCTAGCAGTTGTAAGTTGCTTTGGATAAAAGCATGAGCTAATATTAAATGCATGTGCTATATTAAATAGTTAGGATGTACAGCTTGCTTATGGAATTGCTAACTAGACGCTAGCAAGTGCTAGCTAAATCTACTTACTTACAAGCAACAAACAACAATATCAAAGCAGGCAATTTATGTCAGAAGCATTTTTTGTTGCTCTGCCAAAAATAGAACAAAATTCTGGTATCTGTGGCTGTTGCAGGACTATAATAAGCACAGCCAATCAGACACACCTGCCTACCTGCACTAACTGTGCCTGAACATTTGTTTTGGGGGAGTGGCTTTAGAGAGATGCCTGAAGCGAGAGGGTGGGATTTATTTGGTGGGATGCTTTCAAAAACTTGCTGTCTCTTGCTGGTTCTCCAATGTTGCCTTGCCTAGCTTTAATGTCATATACGTAGCCATCATAATTAAGCAAACATTAAGCAGTATTATGATTGTTAGTAATAAATCAAAACAACTAACAAGCCTTGTTTACAGTTGGAAGGAGTGAAAGGCCAGCTTGGCAGGTTGCTCTTTTTTTTTTTGGTGTTTAACTACTCTCAAAACCTGCACACATAAAAACCAGGCGACTGCACAGAACAGTATTCTGAAATTGGAAAATCATCTTTGCAAAGGAGAATTTCTGGTCAGCATGCACAAATGTGGTCCCACGAGCATGGGACTGTAATGAGCACAAACTCGATCCTCAACAGAGAGGCGTAAACTAACCCACCCTTCCACTTCCGCCCCCGGACCTTATTTTGGAAATTATATGTAGCCTGCAGTAGTCAACGGCAACAGACACTGTCCCGCGAATTACACCTATCCTGTATGTCAATTTCAAAGATAATTTTGTATATCAAGAAAGTCGCAATTATGCATGAGGCTTAGGGTTATATCTACTGAGAATACTGAGTTAGCTTCTTCCAAAGAACTTACATTGTACATTCTATAGTTTTTGTTTCTTATAGTGGCAATGATACAGACGCCATAGGCAAAATTATTCTGAAGTTGATATTTTATATATAAGTCTTAGTGGCATCTAGTGGTGAGTGTTGCAAATTGCACCTCCCCTATCAAAGCCAGTAGTATAGCTATGGTGCCTGAGACAGGACGAAAGATAACAGAGAGTTGCCAGTCAAGAAATGAGGTTTCTTTAGATAGATCCATCCATCGTCAACCATTAGCAGTAAAAATACATGTTTTCCACCAGGGCAGTAAAATGTGAAGTTTAGCTGCTGATCTGAGCTTCCCTGCTGTTACCGTTTTATTGCCAATAATATTCATCAGCTGTTTGACTCACGGCACATTTCTGTCCACGTTGCAAAGCCATGACAGAGCGCAAGAAGAACTACATGAAATTACAATCCAACTGCATATTTTTTCTACCAGGACAGGAAAAGTTTAGCTATCTGATGTGAGCTTCCATGCTGGAAGCTACGTTTTATTGCCTTTTAGTGATCAGCTGATTGTCTCTAACCGGCAAAGCCAAACCACAGGCTGGAGAATCACTAGGCTACATGAAATTACTCCAACTACACATTTTGCACCACTGACACGCCACTTCTCTGGGTGATTATGTCAACAAGAGCTTTCATTTGCATCACTAAAGTCCGACTAACTTAATTACCTGTCCAGCGGAAAACAGACAACATCTGTCCCACATCAGAGCCTTCCATCTGGGAAAATCCACACCGAACATCCGTGATTTCTGTCCTGACTCTGTCTGGCTTCATCCTATTAAGATCCACAGGCTGTCGGCTCTCGTGCTAATGTAACCCTCTGCGTCCGTCTGTGGACTGAGTGTGTCCCTTTTGTGTCTATGGCGTGGAAGGATGGCACGGCCACACAGGACTTGCTCTCACTCTGGTTCTCCTTTTATTCTGGTATAAAAGTCAACAGCACACAATCAGTAACTGTGTGTTATGCAACTGCAACCATCAGATCTGTATGAAAAGGAACAATTATCATCCAAAATAACTACTAAATACATCACGGTCGGGAGCTAGCAAGCAGGTGGTTGGCTAACCAGCTAACGTTAGCTCAACCTATGACCAAAAGTGCTACTTATGAATAAAGTTACTATTTCTGCATGTACGTGTCAGTTACTTTTATATCACATGCCATGGGTTGGTGATGGCGCATAGATAAGATGCCTTTAGTGTGGGAGACCTGGGTTCGATTCCCACTGTGAGACATCCACCATTGTGTCCCTGACATCCCTGAGCAAGACACTTAACCCCTAGTTGCTCCAGAGGCTTGTGACCTCTGACATGTATAGCAATTGTAAGTTGCTTTGGATAAAAACGTCAGATAAATGTAATTTAAAGTAGTGCTTACAGTCAAAATACATGTTACTGATAGTCATGAAACCAATTTTAAAACATTGAAATATTGATCACAACATTGCTCACGTGCATCTACCTCTAGCTTGGAAGTGTTTCCTTTGCTTACGATACGTGAGAGAGAACCCTGTGTATGCAGTTACGCTATTAACCCACCAGGTGGCTCCAAAACTACATAATGTAACACTAGCACATCCATTTTGTAGAAACTCACAAGCGATTATTTCTAACTCTGTTACACTAAATAACATGTTTTCTCTTTCATTTCTCCAAATATCACTTCTCTCTTCTAATAAACTAGACGACTATTTATATTTTTATGATTTCCTCTCCTTTTTCTTCGTACGCATTCAATTTAGTCACAATCTAAGTTACACTGTTGGAATTATTCAATTCAATTTTATTTTATTTATATAGCGCCAAATCACAGTAACAGTTATCTCACAGCAGGTCTAGACCGTACTCTGTGATGTTATTTACAGAAGCCCAACAGTTCCCACCAAGAGCAGCACTAGGAGACAGAGGCAAGGAAAAACTTCCTTTTAAGAGGCAGAAACCTCGAGCAGAACCATGACTCAGGGTGGGCGGAAGTTCTTATACAAGCAGAAGAACACCGTGATGACGAAACACGCTTTGTAGCGCTGTTTGACCGTTGTCGGCCACTGTAGAAACATGACGACACAATACGGTGACCTCCGTGGAAGGGAGGACCTGCGGTTACAGTACAACGCATTCTCATCTCAATGCATCATAATTAACACTTTCGGACAGCGTGACGAAGTGTGAGGATTTTAGCAAACGCCCACGTTTGCTACGTTGCAGCAACACAAGGGAGGCTAACCCTACCTGTTAGCTAACCCTAGCTGGTCGACATGCATAAAGTCGGTGACTTGGGTTTAGGTACTAACATTTCCGATGGTTATGGTAAGGGTAGGGGCTTCGGGGGGCTGTCAACACCTTTATCACAAACGTAGCCACCGCTCACACGGACGGTAAAGGGTACGTTTAGCGTCAAATAACTACGTTTTGTCACTTTTTCTGGGAGCGTTGGTAATGGACGCCCTGAGATGAGAACGGGCTGGCGGTTATGTACATATATAAATATAAAATATATAAATGGCTCATTCTAAGGTAATAAAAACATAATGGTTCATTATGTGAGGTCTTTATACACCACTCAAAACATAGTTATGGATCTTATATTGCATATTTCTGTCAATAGATCCTCAGAAATATCACTCTCTGGGCCTTTAAAATGCTCCAAATAAGTTAATGTTATTTTCCAAAGACAATTATTCAGTGATCTGTATCCTAAACCAGCTCTGCGGTAACTTTCCCCCACCCATGTTAATGTAGGCAACCCTTTTGGCTCAACACAGTGGCTACATGGCAATTGTTAAGGTGTTGGTCAGTCTGTTGAAAAAACAAAGCTTTAACAACGTGTTAACACCACATTGTTGATTATGGTGTGGTTAACATGTTAAATATTGCATATTTATGAACTGCGTGGCTTTCCATAGGTGAGAGTATGACGCCCGCGCGCATGAAACACGCCTGATCTTCCTCACTGTCATTTTGATAGCGCTTCACAAGGACAGAGGGGAGAGAGACGGGAATAAAGACATGTCCCGACTGCAGTTATAAACACAGAAAGGTCCTGAAAGCGTCCAGCACATCGACACTAAGCGGTACGTATTTAACCATCTGACGGATTTCACGGTTGAATTTGGCGAATGACAGGAGCGTTGCTGCAGGATGATATATTGATGGGCGTGTATGTGTTGCTGATGGCTCGAGAAAAAAGAAATTTGTCCATGCCTACCAGTAAATCTGTGTCAAACCGTTATGTGAACACGCCTTCAGTAGAGATGGCAAATGTGTTTAAGAGCTTAACGAAAACAGGTGAATGTCTGCTTCCCTCATGTCATGAGGAAAGGATATAGTTTGTTGTCCCCTCTTGTATCACAGCTGTAGTCAGTGCAGGAACTCCACCCTGTCTGAGGGAGGATGCATTTAAAATGGGAAATTCTGCCATAGTTTTAAACATTTTAAAGATTCTGTCAGTCAGTAGCCTGTCGGGTATCCTTGAATTAAAATGCAAAAAACACCACAATGAGAAAAAAAAACAAAAACTGTACACTTAAAGTGGTCCTTAATAGCATATAGTCAATATTTTAGAGACCCCCCCCAAAATATTACTAATAGTGTTTTTTCAGGGGAGGTCATGAGGTCAGGATCCCCCTAGTTCGCACCCTGGCCGTAGCCTCCAGAAAAAAAACCCTTTGATTAACATATTCTGGTATTTTCTTAGATGCTCAGGTAATCATGCTTTAGATCAGCCCCAAACAAAATGCCTCTTTGATGCTGACGTACTTAATCTAGAAATTGGAGAATTTTGAGTGCACTTGAAAAGAAATATAAAATTAAATATGTAATACTGACTTTTTGTTTTTACACGGGACAGGAACGCCGTTCTGCTGGTTCAAAGTCCGGGTTCCGGCCCTCCATTCAGTCCATCCACGTCCTTACTCAGTCTGTTACATATTAGACCTTTACCATCACACACTGACGCTGCGGGGCTCCCCCCACTGCGTTGATCTGTGACGCTCTAGGGATCCCCAGTGCGTTACAAACCCACGCTAATAGGCCTTGACCAAGCCTGAGGGGATCCAGCGAGAGCAGGCTGCAGGGTTACAACACCGGTCATACATAGAACGAAACGCAGCTCCTTTGTTTTTATGTTATGGTTTTAAAACAGAAAAAAAAAAACCCGACTTGTTTTTTTTTGTTTTTTTTTCTCAGATTTTGTTTTGTTTTAGTTAGGTTTGTTTTTCCGCTTGTTTGATTATTTGCTGCTCCCTGATTAGTTTCACCTGTGCCTTGTTATCACCTCCCTCCCTATATTTTGAGTGAGTGTCTTCCAAGGATCATCCTTGTGATTTTGTCAAGTTTCCCAGCTCTTCCTCTGTGAGTTTTTTTCTTTGTATGACCTGTGGCCTGACTTTCTGGATGTCTTGGCCTTGACTGATTTTCGCTTGTACATGTTGGATTTGTTTGCATTGGGTTTAGACTTTCCTCTGGTGTTTTTGACTTTGCCTGCCTACTTCAAACTTAAGCCTGTTCACCTTTTTGTTTAATCATTAACAAACGTCAAAAACTGAATCAGCTCTGCGTGGTACCTTGCTTTTGGGTCCCAATTTACCTGCTTTACCTTCTCCCTGCTTGACAAAATGTGACAAGTGATGTGAGAAGCACCATTATGTGAAAAATTAGAAACGACGTATCGCTCCTTCTAAATATGATTTCATCCCATGTGCTATTTTAAGCTTCAAGCTAAACTATACTGGAAAAACAAACCCTCCTCTACCATGCACACAGTTTTGGATTGGTTTTTATTTTCTAAAGAGCATCTGTCTGCAGTTTCTGTCACCACCCCCACTATAATGAAAAGAATGGAATGAATAAACAATACTAACTACAAATAATTGTCCATATAAAAACAGCCGGTGGCACGCACCTGTTAATATTATTCCACATCAATCTTAGCCACAAAATTATATTGTACAGAGCTCCGTGTCATTACTGTGTAAGCAAGGAAGTGACTCAGGGAATCTTATTCAGTAGTTCTTTTATTTTTGTGGACAAGTGTCCTGTTTTCTAAATGATATCTAATTTTGCAATTTAAAAGGTCACAGTCTTTCGCTTCCTTTTTTTTTTTTTTTTAGGCTTTTCTGAACTCAAGCCAGCATCATACACTCTGCTGCTTTTGTTTACCTTCTTGTTAACGGAAGTCCTTCCCGAGTCTGGGGGATTGAACCGGCGACATTCTGGTCACAAGCCTGCTTCACTAAAACATCTGAAACTGTGCACAACCTATGCAGTTTTTTCACACGTCGGGATCATTTGCTTTATGGAGACATTAGAAAACAAATTGTAGCCTATTGAGGTCTAGTGGGACCTCGTGAAACTGAGGTCACTCTGTACCGTCTCTTCTAAAACCCAGGACAGAAAAAACCCTCAAACTTGAAGACTCTGTTTCTGCTTGAGTAAATAATTGAACACTGTCAGATCTACCAAGCTCAAACACATACCCTGGTCTCTCTGTTTCCCTCTCTGCCATCGTCTGTCCTCGTACTGTGGAGGTCAGTGATGACATCACTTCGGTGTCTGACGCTTCCCAATTCCTAACCACATTACCATGGCAACAGGAAGAAAAGGTAAGTTTGACACTGTGTGTGTGTGTGTGTGTGTGTGTTGCTGACCGGCAGTAGTTTGGCGTTCATGCGGTTATGCCTGGCTGTAATCCCGGCGTGCTGTGAGTTGACATGTCAACGTTTCCTAACTAATGTCTAACTGATGTTCCTTCACCACAGCAGGATCTTCCTCTTCAGCACAGACTCATCTGCCCTTTTCTGTGTTTCTAGTAAACCTTTGGTTAGTAACTACTGCGGGGTTCTTTAGTGGGAAAGAGTGAGCATGCTGTTAATTTGTCCAGACGCTTCTGTTGACTCACATCTGCTCTCCAACATCTTCTTTGCTGCCAGCCCTACAGGGATTTATTAAAACACACATTTCTTGTTTTTGCTTTGTTTCAGCTTTGGAAATTCAGACATGTTGTTGTATTTATCCATTATTTTCATTTTATCTCCAGGATTGCACCCGCCCTGATTACCAGATGGTTTAAAACACGTATTTTCTCTCCGTCACCAGGCTCCACCTCCAAGGCAGGTGGGGTGCGTTTCCCTGACGATGATGAGCCCCCTGGCTCTCCAACACGGAGAGACGACCAGTCAAACCCCTCCACTCTCACTGCTATCCTAGAGAAGGACGGCAGCTACTTTGTCAAGGTGTGTGTGTCTGTGTATATATACGTGGAACCAAATGGTCTCTTTCATGGTTCCGTCATATACATGCAAGTGTTGGCATTAGTCGCACTTGTAAAAGCCTTTCACCTGACAGGTCAGAGGTGTCACCAAAATGGTCCGGGATCCTCAGGGAACTCTGGGGCAAATCTCACAGCAACCTGACCAACCTGGTCTGGACTAGTACTGACCCCCTAATAGTCGAAGATTCGATGCTTCGATGGGTGGAGCCTGATTCGAATGAATCTCACAGTCGAAGCTTTGCAGCGAAACAAGGATAACGTGATAATCAACGTCTGATTTTACATAGAACTACCAGTTTTCTCACAATAAGTTAATATACAGCCTGTTACAATATACATTTAAACATTTAATGTTGTAAATAAACATGTAAAAAGAATAAAACTTTCAATAAATGTTTTTAAAGACGTGAATAAATACAAAATTGTAACCCTACCCCTGGGTCGTCAGTGCACATGTGTACGCGTGGTGGCAGGTTTAAGCAATAAGCAAGTACTTAATCCCTTAACATACAGTTTTTGCGTTAAGTAGATTTAATATTCATACTCAATACTCCCTGTCTATTGTGGCTGTCACATTTCATCAAATGGAAATATTCATAATGTCTTTTAATCCTTTTATAAACATATCCCTAAATTCAGCCAATATTTCGACACATTGGGTTTGAAACACAACATGTGTTTGTAACGACAGCCAAGTTTTCAGTAGAGCCAAACTCATATATTGGCCTATATACAAGGTACAAGGTTGTTTATGTGTCACTGTACAACACAAGGTTGTATAACAAAACAAAATTTGTTGTCCCATCATGCCACACACACAGAACTTAACATGTAATTAAGTGTATATTAAAATATAGCCACATATAAAATAAAATAAAATAAAATAAAACAAAACAATATATATATACACGTATACACCCCAAACATTTTGCAGTGCGTTTTTTGAATTTGTGTCTGGGGTGAATGTAAATCATATATGACAAAGCTATATCTGTATTCGTGTGTATATATCAGCCGATAAAGGGAACATTGTTTGTTACGGTTATGAGTTAACATAAAAAACCCAAATGTTGCCAATGTATTCTCCACTACATGTATGTGATGGCTGTAGTTACAGTGTACTTTACATTCAGAAGTATGATGAGGTCATAAAATATGGTGCACTGCTGCAGATGATGTTTATACATGGAGTAGTTAGCTTTAAGCCTTCGATATACTTGCTTTTTAACAATGCGTAGGCGGAGACTAAACACCCTCTTCTTCTTTGCATTTGGCAAACCAACTGCATACCACCTGCATGCCATCTTGCCTAGTTGAGCTAGCTGGTCCAGCTGTAACATAAAAATGCTGCTTACATTATAATGCTTCTTTCACTCCCCCCCCCCCCCCCCCCCCAACTATTTTTGTGTTACTCTTTGCCTCCACTCTGTATTTCCTCTCTCCAGGCTGGTTTCATGAAGAGCCACCACTGTTATGAGATTGTCTTCACCGTCCCTAATGTCCCCACACTGGGCAAAGAGCTCTCCGGTGCTCCTTCCACCTCTCCAACGCGGAGGCCCTCCTGCCTCTGGGTGCATCGCGTAAACTCCACGCTGGAGGGTAAGTTCAAGCAATGCAAGCAAGCAAATGTATATCTATGTGTCCCTTGCTTTATTTACAAAAACTACAAATCAGAAGTAGGGTGTGGGCAAAGTGTGTAAAAGCAGCAATGGGTACAGCCTTTAGAAAACAGTGTGCAACACCGTGTTAAGTCAAACAACACACTGCTTTGTACATTCAACAATCATGCAAGCGCACATTCCTGGAAGAATACCTAGTCAGGGTTTACAGAGGCACAAGATACAGCAGCAAAGTGGACCCTTGCATTTTAAATAACACAGTGTGAAGTTTGTTATTTATTTTGGTGTTTTAACAACAAGACTTGTGTGATGTTGTAGCCTAACTGTTACTGTGTACAGTCTCCTTGCTGGATGTCATCATTGCATTACTTTTATTATTACATTGCTTTGTGCCCTTTGTAAAATTAAGAGTTTAAAGTCTCACTATTACAGTTTTCTATTTCTCTGTTATGTGGCGCGGTGTTAGCAATGTTACTTCTAACATTCTTTATCAGCCCGGGAACTCAAACCGTTTTCTGATGCCCCAAGAATATATATTTAAATAGCTGAATTAATATCATAAACATGATCAACACATAATGGCTTGAGCTAACGAGTACTAGTCCACTAGGAAAATCTTTAGTCAGGGGGGCAGCCCTGGTGTAAGCAAATGTATAAGTTTAAATTGATGATGCCTCTCCCTCTGCCTCTGTAGGAGTAAAAGTAACGTGTGAGTACAGGACTCACCAGGAGGGGGTGCAGCAGGAGGAGATCACTCTGGTAACCAGAGGGAGAAAAGACAGCAGTCTGAAGGTCAGACTTCAGGCCAGGGTCATTGGTATGTGCTAGCACACACAGACACACGATGAAGCTGTGTCTAAATGTCATAGTAACTCTTAGCCTGGTTATGAGTATGTAGTTCGTTCACACTTGACATGTCACATTAGGAAAAGCACAGGTGTAAATAATAAAAGTGAATGATGGATGAATTCCATTTAGCTCCTTCTGTTTCAGGGTGCATGCTGGGTCAGATCTGCAGCTAACGATGATTTTAGTACTCAAAGCTTCTATAGATTATGTCGTTTTAGGAAGTAACGTTACTTTTGCTTGGCGGCGGTGGCGGCGCCCTCTCGGGATCAGCTGTGTATGTTGATAGATGATAGATATTTATTGGTCCTTTCGGAAATTCATTGTGCGTCATACAGCAAACATCAGACCAACAACCAGACATCTGCTTTACCAACACAAACTATAGGCCTACAAGTTATACTGAGGTCCCCGACACGCAATAAACTCATGACTGACGTCACAACGGCTTACTTTGGCTTCAACTCAACAGTCAATCATGATTTCAGTTAAATGCTAAAGTTGCTGTTACCTTGTCTGCGGTCCGCAGAACACCGGGTGCCTTCTGATAAGGCGCCGTCGTGCTGTAGTCGAGGCAACGTAAGTTTTTGTTTTACGGCAGACTGACTATAACAGTTGTTTTCTTGTAGCTTGAAATAATCCCATACTTTGGACACTTTCTTCTTTGTCCCTCGCTATTTTCTCTCTTAGCAGCGACATCATAATCACGTCGTGTTCACAGAGCGTAAGCGTGGTGTGCTACAGTAATAAATGTCCGTGTGAAACAGTGTGCTATATAGTTAAACAGATTAAACAAAGCATCGATGCAAAGAATTTGCGTCAAGGCATTTTAATAATCAGTTTAATCGATTTTAATTGTAATTGAATTGTTTCAGCCCTAGTCAGATTGCACGGTGGGGCGAAAAGCAGGCATTTTTGCAGTTTGTATTATTTTGCCATGCAGTTTTAGAAACAAGGCTCTGATGATGAGAGGTCAGTGTTTCAAACTAGCTCATTCCTCATGGATGAGTGCAATCAAAATCCAGTGTGAGCACAACCTGAGCCAGAGATTGAAGCATGAATGTATCTATTCTCCAATTTACAATTGTTCCAGCTGTGGGCAGCTCCTACATGTCTGTTATGCATCACATTGTGGTACAAATATACCGAATAAAATTATAAACACAACACTGTTTTTTTGCCCCCATTCATCATGAGCTGAACTCAAAGATCTGAGACTTTCTATATGTACACAAAAGGCCTATTTCTCTCAAATAGTGTTCACAAATCTGTCAAAATCTGTGTTAGTGAGCACTTCTCCTTTGCCGAGATAATCCATCCACCTCACAGGTGTGGCATATCAAGATGCTGATCAGACAGCATGGGGATTGCACAGGTGTGCCTTAGGCTGGCCACAATAAAAGGCCTTAGGCTGGCCACAATAAAAGGCCTTAGGCTGGCCACAACAAAAGGCCTTAGGCTGGCCACAACAAAAGGCCTTAGGCTGGCCACAATAAAAGGCCACTTGAAAGTATGCAGTTCCATCACACAGCACAATGCCACAGATGTTTTGAGGGAGCGTGCAGTTGGCATGCTGACTGCAGGAATGTCCATCAACAGCACACTCAAAACATTTTTAATCTCCATTCTGGCTTTATTGAGAATAATTAATTCTGTCACTGTCCAATATGAACGCTACTATTACTACTACTACTTCATCTACTACTCCTAGCTTTAAATAGTAGTAAAGCAGTTCCAGAAAACTAGTATTTGGAAAAACTCATTAAGTTACATTACAAGGTCAAGTTTTATTGGTGACTTTAAAGCCATGACTTCTTATCAGAGATCAGGCTGGAGCCCAAAAGCAGACGGACACAGTCCATAAGTTTAAAGGTGATTCATTAAACACAGTAGGGAATGTGCAGGGATCAGGGCTGGCTGAAGAGTGGTTCGGGCAGAGGCCAGAGCTGAGCAGGCGAGCGGAGCAAGCGAGAACACAAACACACAGTCCAAAACCAAAACGCAACGGGTATCCAGCATTCATACAAACTGAGAAATAAAATCAAAACACTTTCGCTCACATACAGATGTCACAGCAGGGGGATTCTGATTTATTTATAGGCCACTTATCAAACAATGTATAAATACTTACACAAAAGATACATGAAATACTGGATGGTGGTATTTGGGAAAAAAAATGGTATTCTTCTACACTAGAGTACATGGATATCTGTACACAGACCTTTTCTGTCCACTGCTCTGTGTCTATGACAGGATAGGATAATACAACAGTAACAATTTGGTTGTTGCTTTTTGGATTGTGTTCAGTAAGAAATAAATGTAGTGGCCATAGAGTTTACTAAACCCCATTTACGTTCAAAACGTTAGAGTCACTTTACGAAAACCAACCTAACAAAACTGACCGCAAAGAAAGCAAAAAGATTTCTCTGACCATGGTATTTTATTTCTAGCAAACTGGTTAACACATACCTTTCTGTCTTTATCTGTCTGCATCTCTCTATCACATCTGCCCTCATCCTTTTCTCTTCTTCTATCCAGACCCACATCACGGGACTCCCATGCTGCTGGAGGGGGTGAGGTGCCTGGGTGCTCACAAAGACGTGCACACAAAGCACAGCAGCGACTGTAAGAGGATATGATGAAAAAGATACACACAGATAATGTATAGTATATATCTACAACAATTACTGGGTCAGGGCCCAGAGTGGTAGTTTGGAAACTCAAATTAGAAACTGCTTTTTTGACTGGGAAACAAAACATATGTGATGCTATGTTTTTCTATATGGTAGTCCAAAATATTTGTTAGAAAATAACAAATCAATCAAAGACTGTAATTAAAACTGATGAATTGGCTCCTCAAAAAGAACTCATACATACATACATACCACCAGCCCACAGCTCTGGATGGGAATTTGACAGCTGCTATCCAGTTTAGAGAGCCACGAAGTCTCTGTTGGACGTACAGTGAACCATCACTCAACACTAGCCAACTCACACACTCACACACAAATAAATGTTTACTTAGGTCACTTTTGGGGACATTACATAGACTTGGAGACTTAAGCTGTATTCGGAACCGCCTACTACATACTACTGGCAACTGCAGTATGCAGTATGTACTGTATACTGTATACCGTACGCATGCATACTGTATGCACTAACTGTTATTTGATTTATTTAGCAGTTTCCGGTTTTCAAAATCAGAACAATAGGAGGTATATAAATGTAAGTACCACTTAAAACTACAAAGCTGCAGCCAATCTGTAGCGAATGTTTGCTTTGGTATAGTGGTGCATAAATAAGAATAATATGAAATAAAAGCTTCTCAACTCCGAAAACGTTCTAGCACATTTTCAGTTTCCCAACAATTTTCATAAAATTGCTGATATTTCAAATCTACACAGTTGATTTCTCGCCTCAAAACTTGTTAGAAGTGGATTTAGTGATGAAAACAGCGTATGAAAATTGTAAAACAAGTTCTATTGTCCTCTACACATCAGACCGGTTGTTGTTACAGTTCTAGCGCTTTGCATTATGGGGCACAGTACGCATGGTCTGATGCATACTGGAGATTTTATCCGAATCAGTACGCCATCCGGGTATTTTTGGCATACTGCAGATTTTTCATAGTAGGCGGTTCCGAACGCAGACATAGCCTACGCCCTAACCACTGACCTAGCTTTGTGCACCAGCTACCATAGAGTAGTACATTGTTTGTAACTTAGAATAACAGTAGACTTGCGTAATGATAATAGTGCAAAAACATTGCACAAAATGTCAATTGTGGCTTCAGGGGTGTTGCTGTTAGCCTGTCATTCCTCTGGCAACCAGTCACTCACATTTCTTAGGTCTTCTCTTAAGCTGACAACCTGCTTGAAATTCAAAATAAGTCAAATCTCAACATAGAATTAGATCAAATCTCTTAGATGTAGTGAGCAGGTTTTATGCAGCATGACACATCTTTACTGTTGTTATTGTAGTTTCCTACAGCTGCCACCAAATATTTCAATGATTGCACCTTACTGCTGCACCAATACAATTCTTACTATGCTATTGATATATCATGTGAAGAAATCTGGACACTTTAGCTGGGGTCACTTGTTAAAGTGCACTTTGGCAGCATTGGCACCGTTTGCAATAAAAGCCACTTGTTGTAACTACTGAGCATCTTTCAATCCAGCTGTCTGCCATTACACTTTACTCAGATATCAGATGATATTCCTGTATTTTTAATGTAGCCATACATTAAAAAAGAGGAGATTATGACAATTTCCCTGTTGTATGTGTTTTTAACTGTGGCTGACAATTAAAACTGTATAATATGGGACATTGCATTATAAAGTATTAAACAGCATGATAACATTTTTAATGTATCATCTTAAAAAGCTGAATGTATTGTCCAAACACCGTCTTTTAAGACCATGAAATTTGACTCATTGTGGTGCAGAGCAGAATCTCAGCTGGATTTCACTCTGATTAGGCAGGAAATTCCATTATTATTATTTTAGTTATTATAATTATGAATTATTATTATTATCTTTCTGCAAATCTTTTATAACTAAGAAGTATTTTGCATTTTCAGTTTCTACAAAAAATATGTAACTGCCTTAAAGAGGTGGTATTATGCTCATTTTCAGGTTCAAAATCTTATTTAGGTTTACATGGTTTAATTTTCAAAAAACACCATCTTTTTTATCAGACTGCACATTACTGCAGCTCCTCTTCTCACCCTGTGTTGAAGGCTTCAAATGATCTTTGTTGGGAGTTGCACATGCGCAGTTCCTAGTTAAGTTACTACTAGCCAATCAGAAGCAGAAAAGGCCGGTAATAGCCAATCAGTCAGTGAAAAGACGGTAAACAGCTTCGTTTCAGCTGTACATGTTGCCGACCAGCTTGGCAACACGGACTGGAGCGAGAGTTTCAGAGTGGTGAGTTATTAATCTGTAACAAAAGTATCTTTCATCCATAAAGTTTTAACTGAGCTCTGTCTCTACATCACAGGAACAACTTTATGTCCACTGACTGCCTGGAGGGTAGCTAGTGTTTGGAAGGGAGAGGAGAGCTGTGTGCTGCAGCTCGCTGTTTCTGAGGGCGTGTCGGAGTAGCCGCTTGGCGAGCGTTATGAACCGTATTTTCATTGTGACGTCACAAGAAAGGGACGTAAAGGCTGGACTACAAACGAGCTGTTTTCAGGCAGTTCAGAGCAGAGTTTTCATTGGGAGATGGGAACTCCCTTTGGGCTGGACTTTGGGCTTTTTCACTTTGCAAACCTGTTACATGCACAAAAAAGATATTTAACTCAATGAAGGAGAGGGGAAAATCCAAACACCATAATACCACCTCTTTAAGCTTTTTCCCATGAACTGTGCGGACTAGTTCCAGCTCCCGCTGAACACGGCAGCCGGTGTTCTGACGATTTATGCTTCCTTATCGAAAAATGCTACCTTAGCTACCTTAAATTGCTAACGTCTAACCCTAGTCCTAACACTAACCCTAACCAATGGGCATGCAAAAAACTCTCGATAGGTCGCATAAATCGACAGAACACCAAACACATCATCCGAGACAGACAGAGGCCAGTTTGACTAGGGGGAATCCAGTACCGAGGAGGTTTTCTATGCTGGGTTTGGGTCTTGGAACCCCGGGACCGGAGTCCGCTAATAGGGCCGCTAGCAGCCTGGCTAATGTTAACATGAGCTAACTAGCTACAGATGCAGAGATAGTTAACAGCATTTAAGGGTTTAGCAAAAACTAAAGCTATCTGTCCATCCTGAAGCTCTATAATGTTAAATCCCCTTGGCACTGTATTCCCTTTTTGCTTTGAAGCTGTGTTTGGTCCTGTTCAGGCTGTGTTGATTGGGAGGCTGCTGAACGTGGTGTCATTGCCCGCTCGCACGGCGCCACTACCCACCATCGCTCCCTGTTGCGTCCCCCGCCTCTGGCCGTAAACTTTACAAACTCCCCAAATATTAGAAGTATAACGTTAAACACTCCCCCAGTGCTCCGAGCTCCCAGTCCAGGCAGAGTCAGCTAATGTGACAGCTAACTGAGCTAACTATCAGCAGCTGATAGCAGGTAGCTGTTAGTTTAGCTACAAGTTAAAAACAAAAAAAAAACAAAAAACTTTAGCAACAAGTAAAGCTAACTGTTCATCAGCAAACTCAAATATGATCCAGTTTCAACAAAATCAGTTAGGATGTGCTTTTGTTTTTGTATAGTAATCAGTGAGGTCCGGTCGGCCCCCAGAAACAATACTCCCTGGTAGCCTCATAAAAATGAAAAGCTTTTCATTGGACGCTAAATTAATACACGCCCCCGAGTGCAGGATCGGTCAGCAAAATTTTAAAATCGTTTTCCAGGAAACGACAAACTAAAAACAAAAACAAATTAACGTTTTGATTTCATGGGGACTTTAAGCATCTTTGCTGACGACGTTAGCATTACCTTCGTGTGTTATGACCGATATCAGCAAATAATACTGTCAATGCTGTAACAGAGAAAGAGCTTGTTGAGTTTTTCCCCTCTATTTGCATGATTTATGCTGTATGTCATGAAGTGTAACCAAGATGGGCCTTGGTGGCAACAGAAATGTGTGGACTGTTTGTTTTTTTGCTATACTGTACGTATTACATTGTACCTTTTAGATATCGACAAAGATTTCGGTATGTTGTCTGATTTGAAAACATTTTGAATAACGCTAAGATAAAGATGTGTATTCTTGTTAGATCATCAGCTCCATGCTAAGATTTTAGCGGCACTCTGTTGAGTAATAGACTCCATGCATACAGTTAATTGAGTGATTGTTCATGAATTGTAAACCTGAAACCTTTAATTAGCCTTTAACACATAGCCTAATAAAAATGTAACCTGCTTTAAATGTCTTAGCTAGCTGTAAGTGATGACCGTTGATTTTGAATGTAGCTGATTGCATCACTTACATTGTTGTCAAACAGGTAGTTAGCAGCTAGCTACTTAGCGGTTGACTGTAAATGAGCAAATGGTGACATCGAACAGTAGTCAGAGTTTTTTCCTCTTAAGATTCAAACTATGATATGATGTGCCTAAAAGCTTTTCAATCTACAAGCTGTGCGTCACAACCTCCAGGATTAATCTCTGTAGCAGTTTGTCCCATCGCTAACAAGAACAAGCTAACAAGAGCAGAGCTGTCACCCTCACCAAGGGGATGTTAGTCAGATATCAAAAGTTTTAGAGACATTATGAGACGTGACTTACCAGCAGTTGGAGTAAGTTATCACAAGTGGACAACTAAGTAGCTGTTTATAATAAATATACCATCACTTTTGAATGATTTAACTGAATGATTATATTTGACAAAGTCATCCAATATACTACATTTGTGGTACGCCGATTAAATTTCAGAATTTTTTATAAACTACTAATCAAGTTCATTTGGCACTAGATTTACATCTACAAGAAGCAACTGCTACATTTGATTATTCTTGTAGAAACACAACATTGGTCAGAAAGTTGAGGCTTCACAATAACAGTAGCAGTGGCCTATTACTCAACATGAATACGTGCTGGACTGGAGTCCTAATGCCTGTGAGCCACCAAAGACACATGAATGACAAAATACAATTCTGAATACATTACATTAAACATTGCTGACTGTGGATGCGTGGCCTGCGGTGTTCATATGTTGTGCTCTGTTGTCTGACTGTGACCTGCCACCATATATTACGTGCTATGTTGATGTTTACTTAAATATAATAAAGTATCCTCCCACGTGTCGGTCATGCACCTTTCTGTTTTGACTTTGTTCTGAGTTAAATTTGGATTACACAGGTGCCTCTTATGTCTTCTGAATTTTACTGTGAACTGGCAATTCTTTAAAAAGACTTTTAAAGAATATGTATTTTGTTTATAGCACATTAAGTTGTAATGGCTTTAGGGGGCGGACGGAGCTCAGTCTGTGGGGACTCGGCGTGGAAACCAGAGGGTCACCAATACATTAAGTCATCCAGCTTAATTAGCTTCAAAACTGAAGATGTCATTCTGTTTTTTTATTAGCTGATTAGCAAATGCGAAGATACCATTTACAAAATGTGTGAATTTAGTGCGGATAAAAAAAAGATTAATTGGGCATTCCCTGTAAACATAGGTACACATACTGTAAATAAACAGACACAGGTATACACAGATAAACATCATCTCATCTGCAGCTGCTATACATTTGTTAGCCATAAAATATCTAAGGGCTCAAAAACAAGTGGGCATAAAAATCAAATAATAAAACTTTTAATGAGAGAATGTGACAGTTAAATGCTGTTTAGAAACACCCAGCTGTAAACATTTTGAATGTGCGGTGGACAGTGAGGAGGAGGGACATTTATTCAGTGTCACCCACATTACACAAACCCACACAAATGCTGATCAGTAGCTTTCATATTATGTCTAGAGTAAACCATTGTATTAAAGTTAAAGAGTCGACATACAAGCGAACATAAAAGGGACAAGTGGTGATTCAATAGAAATCTGTTTTTACAGAGTTGTCAAGGTAAAAGTATAACATACTTTTGACAGAATTCAGCATATTTTTGGTCATTATCCAACAACTGGGTTTAGAACTGACCACATCCAATCATCTCTTTAGCCCACCAATTCACATGCGGGGGGGGGGGTTCAAAACACAGTAACAAAGTGTATGAAATGACTCTTTGTATAATCTGAATTTGAGCCAGTAGGTCCAATACAGTCTGGCTTTTGAAGAGCCATATGAAAAATGTATTCATTTCATGCCACTGACATGAGCCAACAGGAAGTCAGGGGAAATTCTTCTCGTGCATACTTTAAACCAGCTCGGCCAGAGGATTCTAGTACGGCATGCTTCCTCTATGGGCCCAAAAACATGGAAGCCAGAGGAAGCCTTAAAAAAAACATGTTTTTGCAAATGCATTGAATGAACACTGTATGATTGGGTACCAAGTTGAATCCCAGTGCTCATAATCCATGATGCTAACATGCTATCTGCAGCCATGTATCATTTGTCATTAATGTGCTAATGGAAATAGCTTTGAACCCAAGTTCAGCCAAGGCTTTTTATCAATCAGATTATTTTGATTTCTCAACAAGCAGAGGAGATCATTTTAGGGGGGGCATGGCCTTTAATGAGAATGTGACCTGCTCACAGTGCATTGCACAGCAAAAAATGCTATGAATGTGGGCAAAAATGTAGCTGACTTGGTATTATAACCATGTGGTCTTGACCACCTGTCCACTTTCCCACCTGGTTCTAATGGGCAAATTTTATCCGTAGGGCAGGTTATAACTCGGCTCTAAGCAGAATTCTGCTAAGGGGCCCTCGTACCTGTCCCGTCAGCACAGACTGTGTAAAAAAAGTGGACGTGGTCTTCTTGATGTCACCCGTTGGTGTGTGGACTGCCGTTTTGACATTTTGGCTGTCGCCATCTTGATTTTTTGTTCTGAAACAGAGACCGAAACTTCAACACACCCGCTCCCCGGACTGTTGCACTCTCATAACAGCAGTGTAACTGTGGAGGCGGCCGCCGGTGGGGGGTGGGAACGGTAGCGGTGTGTGTCATATTTGTATAGATAGTAGGTTAGTAGTCATTTTTCACCTTATTTTAGTTTTTATTCACTACTTGAATCTGTTCCCTTTCTCTTCACCTCTCTTGTCCCCACACTCACACACATCTAGCCTACACCTCTCTCTCTCTCTCTCTCTCTGTGTATGTGTCTCTGCTCTCCTCACTTTTTCATCAGCAGTATATTTTATGAAGTCATTTAATAAACTCATCCGCGATTCCGTTTGTGGAACAAAACCAAAACCGACGTGGAATATAATGATGATGATAATAATAACCCCCGCCCCCCCCCCCAAAAAAAACAAACAAACAGGATGATAATTGTAGCTCGCAACAAACAGGCTTAAAATAAAATGTACTCAGCAGAGAAAATGAACAGTCGATCTAAGAATAAGTAGACATATACGGAACAGAATGAGGTATAAACAAGCAATATTTATTGAATAGAATATTTCCTATAGAATATTAAGATAAGTGAATATTAACATTAACACAAATATAAAATGCACCATTAGCTTTAACTATACAATGTAGCTGTAACATACGTTTATCGGCAAGGGCACAGTTATATGTTTTAAATAGTAAAATAAAGTCTACATGTGATTAGCTTTGGCTAATGGCTCTACAATGTACACATAAAGCCTATGGGATGGCTGCAGCTATATTGTCTGGACTGGCCCCAAAGAGGTTTCTGCTGGAGAGTGCAGGTCTCATTTTGTTTTTCGTATTTCACTTTTTGTCAGGCGCAAAGTCAAGAGAAGCGCTGCCCAGCTAGGTGAGCAACACAGAGTAGAGATGCCCTGAAAGCTAGCATATTAACTTAGTATTATTTGCTTGAGGTGTTTTCTTTCTACCTTTCATGACCAGAAGGATTTTCCTACAAAGCTCTTAATGGTCAGGCACCATCTCATCTTAAGGAGCTCATAGTATGCGCTCCCAGAATGCAGGGTTACTTGCAGGTGAGTCCTGAACCATCCCTTAGTTATGCTGCTATAGGCCTAGACTGCCGGGGGATTTCCCATGATGCTCCTCTCTCCCCCTCTCCCTTCTTATCCCATTAATGCATGTTACTAACTCAACTTCTTCCCTTTCCCGTAGTCTTGTGCCTCTCGTCCCTCTCCTCTCTCCTTCTGTAGCTTTCTGCAGGTGTTTCTGTCTCTAGATCCGTGGTTACGAGTCTCCTGCTGCTACCATGTTCCTGCTTGACACCCTCTGCTACAAATATCATTACTGGTTCTATTATTATGATCATAACATTACTATAAATGTCAGTAACGTTCTTCATTTTCAGTCTGAACCACTACTACCTTTACTGTCTGTATTTCTGGGTGGATAATGTGTTGGCCACTTGCCCCCTGCTCTCTCTCTCCCTCACCCCCAACCGGTCTCGGTTGATGACTTAGTCTCGGTTTCTCTACTTCCTAAATCACCAAGTGCTTGCTCACGGTGGGAACTAATATCACAAAGACTTCGCCCTAGAATTAAATTGAATTGAATCCTCTCATTAAAGTTAAAACATTAACACACACTTTTTTTGTAAGACGGCGAAGGCATGACATGCTCTACTCTGCCTCTGACTAGCTCACCCTAATATTTTTACCCAAACCCTAACTTGCCTAAACCTAATCAACCCAACAAACAAAGGCAGCAAATTCTAGCCAATCAGAGTCAGAGTAGGGCGGGTCATGCTTTTGCCATACACGAAGACAAATATCTCAAGGGGGAGGCGGGGCACATGTGTAATTTGCGGGAACGTGACAATCACAGCCTCATGATGCTGTTAGTGGCATCGTGCTAGATTCTAAACATTAGAACAGAAATATTGGCTACTGCTGACTTCAGTCAAAGTATTGACATTGGCCAATAAAACAGCAGCACATCAGTCACACCCTGGCCTAAAATCTGTTCTAGAGGTGTGGTTGTGCTTCTCAGTCTTCATACATGTCAGCATACATGGAAGCATGTGGAAGCATTCCTCATTAGTAAAGATTTCCTGTTGCTTCATTTCATTCTGTCATTGCAACAGGGCAAATGATTAGTGGAGCCTCATTCCTTCCTGATATATTAGTACAGGGGCTGAAGAACGGATGAATGGTGTCAGTAAACGTATCTGTGAATGTGTAGATGAGCATTCTGGCCTCCACGTTGTAGAAGGTCAGCACGCCCTTATCACAGTCCACATAGATTCCAACCCGTGAGGGTCTGGGGTTGACTGTCAGGATGGTTGAGGGTAGTGTTCGGAAGGCGTAGTCGGTCTTATCCCGCAGGCTGAGGAACCAGTAGCCATGGGCGGGGCTGACGGTGATTTTTCCTTTCCGATTGACTGAACGGCTTGCCACTCCCAGGTCCCAGTCAGTCTTTCCTCCCACCTCCACCTGGAAGATGGCAGTGAGGTGCAGTTTACCACAAAGAGTGTGGACTTTCCACACATTAGGGAAATATGGGGACTTTCCAATATGTAGGATTTGTATTGTATTTAATTTGGAAATATAGTCAAGTTATCTACATGGGATAGAATTTCTTTCCTTTCAGCTACATTAATAACAATCTTTTACATTTATTAATTTAGCTGATGCTTTTATCAAAGGGGCTTAGAATTGCTATATATGTCAGAGGTCGCCTCTGGAGCAACGATGGATTAAGTGTCTTGCTCAGGGACACAATGGTAGCAGTGTCGCAGTGGGGAATTGAACCCGGGTCTCCCACAGCAAAGGCATGTGGCTTATCCATTGTGCCATCAACACCCCGGCTTTTACGCATTTGAAACTGTTCATTTAATTGTTTAGTTCAGTTTAGAGCACTTGCAGACCAAAAAGTGCTGAGAATAGAGAGTAAAATAACAAGAAATAGATCTCTGAATAAGGGCTATGAATGAAATTGCTATCTGATCTAATGCCTTTGAAATGCCCTGCGACATTTATAATAGTGAAATAATATAAATCACCTATTCATGGATATTCTGGTTGTTTGTGTGCACTTCATTCTGTAATTTATACCAACATACAGCCACAGGAAAAGGTATGTGAACCCTTTTGAATGACCTGGATTTCTGCATAAATTAATCTTCCCCTAAGTCAAAGCAACAGACAAACACAGCCTCCTTAAATTAATACCACACAAACTATTCTTCATTGCTTCACAGCGAATCCCACTTACCTCCCAGTAATGCCGTCCTGTGCTGAAGCCCTGGCGGGCCAGCACACACACTACCCGGTCATAGCGTTCAGGATTGTCTGGTACCGGCTGATGGCAGTCGCCACACTGCACCTGCTTCCCATCTTCTGAAAGGATGATACGTGGGTGGGCTGTGCTGGGGTCTAAAGTGATGTCGACTGACAGATTAAGAGAGGGAGAAAGCGGGGGATTAATTAAACTCATGGACGGCAGAACCAATGAAAATAACACTGCATATGGCAAAGGAGTGAAAATGACAACAAACCATAAAGGCAGAATTGTTTTTTAAACCGCTTACCTGCATATTCCTGAACCCTCCTTATCTCTGCACAGAAATGAAAAGCCACATTTTATTGATTCATGAAATTTGACAGGATTAAAAACAGGAGAAATGTGAGCTGATAGCTTATCAGAATCTCACTTGGGTTGGGCCTGGGTAGGGATTGGTCCAACGAGGAGAGCTGGCCTGTTAATTAGGGAAAAGAACGTTTCTCCTGTTTATTTCTGCTTCAATCAGTGAAAGGCACGAGACAGAGCTTCTAGAACAAAAACATGGGGTACTGTAGGGGAACTCATAGGGAATCCCAGCTATTTAGCCTCTGTGAGGTCGCTCATGTTTGGCCTCAGATGAGAATGCCAACCAAATCTTTACTTGACTATCCAGCTTGATTGTAGGCCTGAATTCAGACTTACAGACTTCGGGCAGTTTCCGCATCTCTTCCTGAAAGCGCTCAATCATCTGATTGACAGTCCTGAGAATCACCCCTGAGGGCAGCTCAGACACCACAGAGACGCTTGACCAGTCTTTAGTTTGTTGAGGGGCAGACAAGACAGGAAACATCTGCAGAGAGAGAAAATGTCTAAAACAGATAAACAGATCTGGCTTCAATGGGCCTGAAGAAATATTATGATAGTCCCACTGATAAACATAGTGATAAGGAAACTGTGTGTGTGTATGTGTGTGAACTAAATCAGTTTCAGAGAGTAAACAGTTACAGGTGTTTGTAGAATGCTTGCTTGCAATAAACCTGGAGTCACTGTGATGGTGCGATGTTTGAAAAAAGAGTTTCAACAACGGGATTCAAATCGAGTACGTCATCAGTACATCATCACCCGACTTGCTACTAGATCTGCATTTGCTGCGTTACCCGTACATTAAAATCTATACCTTGAGAAAGTGTATGTAGTCTTCAGACAGAGCCAGCTGGCTGAGTGCTGTACTCTTCTTTTTTAGCTCAGCTATCTCCTCCTCCAGCTCTCTCAGCAGGTTCTGAGCTCTGTGCTCAGCCGCTCGCCGAGTCATCTCCATCACCTGAGGACAAATGTACGCCTTATTATGCCGATAACCATTAATCATCAGACAACAGTTTTTGTTATAAGATTCTCCCCATACTTCAGTTTTATTTACCTCCAAGACTTCAGCTTGGCAGCGCTCCACTCTGGAGATAAGTTTGGAAAACGCACAAACAAGTCCATCTGTCTCTCTCTCAGCAGCAACCTAAATCAACAAACGACAAACGGCAGTAGATGTCTGAAAAGCACCCACTGGAAGCTGGCTACTTTTATAAGCTCGTGAGCAAACTGTGCGTCAGGCTGGAGGATATTTTTCTGGCCAAGTGTGGAACTAAACCACTGATAAGTGTGCTGAGTCTTGGGGGTCTATCTGTTATCATGAGGTCTGGACTTTCTTCGCACCACATCTGCCAGTATGCACCCTGTTAATAACAGCACATGGTGCACACTGGCAGTATTAAAAACTGTCTAATTACTTATGTGCAGACACTATATACTCACTATAGAATCACAGGTAACAACACTGCTAAATTTGGATGAATCATAGAAGCTATAACTGGGACTAAAGAAAGAGTTTGGCAGCTGAAAGAGCTTTATGCTGAGCTGAGCCAAATGATCTGGCTCACTATCAAGGGCCTTAATTCCCATCTGCAGAATTAGACTGCTAATTCAGACTTAAACCTGGACTGAACCTAAAGAATGACCCACCTTGGTAAAGACTGAAAACTCACTTGTGTCTCTCGTAAGGAGTTGTGTATTTTTTCCACTTTCCTCTGTTTCTCGCAGATGAGTTCCTTCAGCTCCAGCTCTGCAATACCTAACTGGGACTGGAGAAGATAGAAAAAACATACATGTTTAATTAGGATTAACCTAACTGTGTCTATAATCGATAACCGCCTCATCCTATCCCACGAGCATATTCTACACCAGGTGCACATACAGTAAATGCTAACACAAGGGGTTGGGATTCATGGCTGCAAAAAAAAAAAGAGAGCACAAGATGTCGGTAACATTGCTGTGTTTTAAATTGAGCCATTTTCTTTTCCCAGGTCATGTGTTAACTGTTTTTCAGTGTATTGCCCCTGTCTGTTAAAGTTTGGATTGCATGCTTTGCTGTTTGCGAGCAAAATCGGGAACATCTCTTGTGTTGCTATTTGCTTTACTGGATATGTTCCATAAATAACAAACCTCACCCTAACTTTAAACCACATATTCATGTGGTTATGGCATCTTTCAGATTCTCTTGGCTCTCTGCTGTCTATGCTTAACCCAATGCCCATTTAGGAGGAACCAGGAAGCTCCCTGGAGCCCAGCCTGGCTGATTTTGCTGGAGTTGACAAATTTGCTAACACAGGCAAACATCAAGCAATTGCTGGATCCTTTAAACTCTTTTTAACAAGTAAAAGCCACTCCGATCTTGTCGGATCTCTTGCTCAGTCACTCTTTTTCTCTTCCTCCAATGTCTTTTTCGGTGTCTTCGCAGCCTCTGCCATGATATCCATACTGAGAGAACAGAGTAAGTGCTTCTTCTCAAAGCTTGCTTGCTGAAGATCCGTGTTGGTGTGTGATGTGGCGCCGTAAAGCATTACGCCGTTCTCACAATAGATTCTAAAGCTGTTAAAGCTACTACATAGTGTTGCTTTAAGCTCCTTGGAGCCAGGCTTGGATCTATGCAGCCACTGCTTAACCCAGTGCTCCAGGCGGAAGGTCTTTTTCTTGGATGTCTCCCCAGGATTAATAGCCCCTTCTGGGCTATGGGACCCAGCTGGAGCAGAAGGGTCTTTTGGATGTCTACGAAGGCGAGTGCTCCTGGAGACAGGCATGACCCTTGTCCCGGCATGCCCAAACCCAGGAACTTTGTCCACCAGCTGAACTCATGGACCCACTCTTGAGCGCCACTCCCCAGGCTACACACTTATAACTGCCCTGGAAAGAGCGTCGTGCCCCTGGTACTCCTCTTTGAAGTTCATGCCTTTGGTTCTCCGGTTTGGACTTTGTGCCCCGGTTACTGATTTTATGTTTTTGTTTGTTAATAAATGAGACAGTCCTGATGAAAATTGCTGCAGCCAGTTGAACAACTCTCCCTAACGGTATGAGATTTTCACAGTATGATAACGGTCTCACAAAATATCACGGTTTTACACAGTTATTATATAAATGTACTACATGGTATTCATACACTGGTACATGCCACTGTATTCTGTGAAACAGGTATACCGCTGAAACCCTACCTTCTTTATGTGCCACTCTCTCTTAGCAGAGGTGACATTGTGTCCTCGGTGCTCTGCTGTCTCCGCACAGATGCTGCAGATGCAGGTGTTATCAGTCTGACAGAAGAACTCCAGACCTCTCAGGTGGATGGGACACAGAGGCAGACCGGGGGAAGAGTCCCCGCGACCATTCAGAGGGTCCCTGTCATAGCAATCATTCAACATTCATTCTGCTGTCAGTTTTGCCACCTTCACCGCTATTAGTCACATATTAACAGTGCTTCAGCCGTTTCCATTTAAGAAATGAAATGTTTGCCACTGAACTCTTGAGTACATGGGTGATCTTTGCTCTTTTCACTTGAACAAGAAACATATTCACTGTGTGTATGTTTTTATATGACATGGTAATATGAAGCTTTCACCACTCGTTTAATTCGAAAAACTGAAATTTTAAGAAAATCCAGTGACTGTGACCTTGCTCATTTTAAATGTATTTGATCCAGCAATGTTGTTTATGCACTCCGTGATAATATCCCATCACTCATATTGTGTCACAAGGACACAACACAACAATGCAACCACTCCATAACAAACGCTGAAGGTGCTGAATAAACAATCGAATTCCATAAGTCCTTATAGCCGTATAACATTGTGTGTGTGCTTGTGGCACTGCGCGCAGTAACAGTAAATGTTAGCCTATGCATGTAATATGAATCTAGATAATGTCATACAGAATATGTGGATTGCAATCCAATCACAGTTAAATGTTAATCAGCTGTGTATTTGCTGTCCGAACAAATGGCTTGGATCATTCACTCAGTGAGTGAGTCCCCATCCACTGACCTGCTATGAGTATCTAAGACAAAGCGCCATATAAATGTTAAGCATTACTATTATCATTATTATAAAAGATTTGTTCTTTTGAACAACACATCACTAATCAGAGCCTAGACACCAAACATTAATGCTAAAATTAAATTTGCTCAGAAACATTTTGGTAGACCTAGTAGTATCAAGACTTTCGCCCAGGAGACCGGTGTTTGTTTCCCGTGTGAAACAAAATATCAACCTTGAATGTTTTTAGTGAATGTAAGTAGGTTATGCAAGCTACATAAGTTCAGTTTTTTAACTCAAACCATTACCTTTTCCTAAACCTAACCAAACTGGGTCTAACTGGACGTTGACCGAGTGATAAAACGTATTGTTCTTATTCATGTTCCCCATGAGCATTCCTCTAGCACCAGACAAATGTTATATTTTACCCTGATTGGTATGGTGAGGTTTGAAAATTAGAAAAGTAATCCCTTTGTTGTTCTGTTGGGCAATTTCATACTGCCCCCAGGGCCCACTGCGTCTTGCTCCCACATTCCCGTGTTCCTTGTCTCAGCATGTTTGCTTGTTGTGATTTGGCAAACCAAACATTTACGTCATTATTATTATTATTACATTTATAGTAATATTGTTTTTTTTGGTTAAGCTTTACAGTTGACGTCAAACCCATTTTAATGTAGTCTAAGGAGTGCAGTCTGTTACCTGGTGGAAGGGAAGTAGGGTGGACGCGGGTAATGTTGCTCATTGTTCTGAGCGTGAAAGGACAGGTGAGCGTTGACTGGGCCGGGGCTTTGGGCGTGAGGGTCATTGGGATAGGGGAGGGTGGTGTGAGGCATCTCGGAAGAAGGCAACCGCTTAAAACGAGTCATCATCTCAGCAAAGATGCCCTCCGGCAGTTCCCTTGGCCTCCCGGGCGGAGACTGGGCTGAATGATGATGCTGAGGATGCGAGTTGGTATTCTCCGCTCCTCCAGATCTTCTGTCTGTTGGAACCTGCTTGAACAGTTCAGTGATTTCCTTCAGGGTTCGGTTGATTTGGAGTTCTGGTCGCTTGGAGAAGGACTCCTTGCAGAAGGGACACTGGTAAAACTTGGCACCCCGTCCTCCTGCTCCGTCCCAGTACGATGAGATGCAGGCCTTGCAGAAGCTGTGGCCGCACGGTGTTGCGATTGGGTCGTTGAATATCTCCAGACAGATCGAGCAGGTGAACTGGTCTTCAGACAGAAAGGTAGCAGGCAGCGCCATAGCTGTCCAATGTTAAGCTGCATAAGAGATAGTGTTGCCATTAAAAAGTTATACCTTAAATTAGCAGCAATTACCACATCACATCATTTCCCTTAGTCCATCCATTAATCTCTTATCAATTACACAGATGTCCTGCAATGCATTATTCTACTTTGATTCTGCACTTTATACTTGTACAACTGTTATTATTATTATTAGAATTATTATTATTGTGGTAGGGGATAAAGGGAAGGGGTAGCGTAGGCATAGCGACTTCACCTGTTTGTAATTTGTGCAAAAAACTTTAACCCTAACTTTTAAATAAAGATAAATAATAAACATGTAATTCATTATATATAACAGCATAATGACAGACTTACTTATTCTTATCATATACTGTCTTTGATGCCCGACATAAAACCTGTACTTTTTCCTTACTTGCAGATATTGTAAGAAACAACTCCAACAGGTTCCTATGGTAATGTGAAACGCTGTCGTTCAACAACGCATACACATCATTTAACAGGTGTTGAGACCACAAGTTTAGTGAAACAAGCGGCCTGCATGTTCAAAAAAACCCCCGACGTTGCCAAAATCCCTCTGGTCCATTAAATCACACCTGAGAGAAAGATTAAGTTGAATCCAAATACTGGATTCCTGCTGGCCAAGCCCCTTAAGGCAGCGCAGGTGCCCCATGTGGCGCGGCCATGACATCACTAAACTTCCCACTTGCAACTGCGGTTGCTACAGGAGGTAACCCTGATACCGTTTCAGCGCTGAACTTTATTTCCCTAGGTGAAGGTCTTATCTTGCTCGACGAGAACAAACATTTCGTTTTCGTTTCCTCTTTTGTTTTTCGTGTTCGCTGAACACATTTTTTGATCCCGAAGATCATCATACAGGTGCATCATAGAGAAGAAGAGTGTCGCAGAAGAGTTAATGTCTTTTGGTAATTAAAGTCAAAAAGTGAAACTTTCATATGTTCTAGATTCATTACAAATAAAGTGAAATATTTCAGGCCTTTTTTTGTTCTCATCTTGAACATTACGGCTTACAGAATAAAGAATGTGTAATACAGAAATGTGGGAAACCTGAGAAGAGCCTTTGATTTCTCAGTCTGGTTCAGTACACACAACCACAATCAGGGTCTTACAGAAGACACTCACTGAGTCACAGAAGGTCAGTGCTGAAAGAGCTGGCTGTTCACAGAGTGCTGGATCAAAGCATATTCATGGACTAGAAGGTTAAAGTGTGGCAGGAAAAGGTGCACAAGTAACAGGGACGACCACAGCCTTGAGAGGATTGTCAAGAAAAGAAGCTTGGGGGAGCTTCACAAGGAGTGGACTGAGCCTGAAGCCAGCAGGCACAGACATGTCCAGGAAATGGGCTACGTGTGTCACATTGCTGGTGTCGAGCCAGTCCTGAACCAGAGAGCGCGTCAGAAGCGTCTTAGCTGGGCTAAGGAGAAACAGAACTGGATCGTTGCTAAGTGGTCCAAAGAAACTGGAGTACGAGTGGAGAGGCACAGAATCCAAGTAGCTTGAAGGCCAGTGTGAAGTTCTGCTGACAAGCTTTATGGAGACGCTGGTTTCCTTTTCCAGCAGGACTTGGCACCTGCCCACAGTGCCAAAACCACTAGTACCTGGTTTGCTGACCCTGGTGTTACTCTGCCTGATTGGACAGCCAACTCGACTGACCTGAACCCCATAGAGAATCTATGGTGTGTTGTCAAGAGGAAAGTGAGAGACACCAGATCAACAGTACAGACGGGCTGAAGGCCGCTATCAAAGCAACCTGGGATCCGTAACACATCAGCAAAAGTTTTGCCTTTTGTCTTAAATTACGGAAAATAATGGACTTTTCTGAGATGTGAAGTCCATTATGAAACAACAGTGAAAAACACACGAGTTGTTTGTTGACTTTCTATATGAGCAAAATTATCAAGTTTGAATGTCTTTTTAAAAATCCCCTAAATGAGAACGTCATCCAGCCTCTCACGTTCAGGAGGAAACAAGCCATGCCTGGTTCTGCATGAGTTTGGTGTTAAGACAGACAGAGCAGTTGCTTAACACTTCACCTAATCCTCGCGTCCACAACACACACAGCAGCACTGTGAGAAACAATGTAGACTGTCTGCGCACACTAACCACACACTGAAACAACACAGGTAAGTACTTTCACAAGATCAGGAAATTCAGGCTTGGCTGGAACAACATAGACCTCATCTGTTGACCATGACGTTTTCAGTGAAGTGTTAAATATAGCGATAAACTCAAATCCTGCAAGTCATCTACATTTCCTCCTTTACTGAAATATGAGGAACCAGACACTTCTATATTTTTCTTACTGACATTACTTTTCTAAAAGACCTAATTCTAGTTATTCTAAGCCCGATAAATCTTCTTGATGATATAAAGTAGATGAGCGGATAAATACTAATTGCTATTGATAAGTATTTATTCAATAATAATTACCATTTTTCACAAGTGCTTTTTTTTTTTACTATTCCATGTTTGTAATGATTTGGGAGACTTAATGATTTGTAGAGCAAGTTATTTGCTGATAAAATGCGTATTGTGTCCTGCTCCCGTACTGTACTGTTACTTTATTTGTCCCTTAATTTCAATGTACTTCAAAGTAATCTTGACCGTTACCAAAAACTAAACCTACTTATAATTTTAAACCTGCAGAGTGGAACTTTTGTTAGTTCCATGACAATAATCCATTATTTAGGGAGAGTACATGTAATAGCTACTCCCCCACATGTTGATGGACATTGTCCTCAGGTGTCTACTCCTGAGGACATAATAACGTCCAAATTACAAGCATTCACACAAGCAGCTGCAGTACAGGTAACACAAGATTCCCCATTGGTTGAAGCATGGCTGAAAGGGTTAGGCCCAGCTGGAAAAGACACTTGGAGGTAAGTAGTTTTGATGTGTAAATGCTTCAGGTCAAGATATCACTCACACTGGTTTTATAATCTGATAAGCAGCGTCGTTACCAGGAAGTAATCTCTCTACATTTCTACCTGTTCCATTACTCTAGTATTGTCTATTCATTTTCCAAACTGATCTGCGGGCAAATGTTAAGGATTCTCAGTGATGAAAGAACTAAATCAATGAACATTCACTCATTTAGCTGACGCTTTTATCCAAAGCGACTTACAGTTGCTATATATGTCAGAGGTCGCACGCCTCTGGAGCAACGAGGGGTTAAGTGTCTTGCTCAGGAACACAATGGTGGATTGTACCCGGGTCTCTCACACCAAAGGAATGTGTCTTATCCACTGCACCATCTCCACACTGTGAATCGTTCAATAAGATATTCCTGAATTTGTGAAAAAGTACAATAAGTGTTTAATTAACCAGAGTTTTTGAACCTTTCAGCCTTCCTTTCTCTGACACTATTCTCTCAACAATATTTTCATATCATTGAACACATCATGAAGCCTGTTCATGACGTGTGAGGGGCTGACCCAGGGACTGTCACATGCAAAACACACATTTACACCTGTTTCTAGTGGAGACAGGTGTCGTTACAGTCTACAGTACCATTCAGCACGTTGTTACATACTGAGAAATCAGTGATTTCTTCAAAGTAACTCTGTAAAAAGTAAACAGACTTCCAACTATTGACAAAAGATAACATTTTACCACAGTGCCTTTCCCATTATGTGCAAAGTCTCTCACACCCAGAAATTGCTGTTCCTTCACACACATTTCAGCGTGTTTCCACCTTACCTGAGTTAAACATGCCTTACCTGTTCTGAGGACTGAAGTGACTATGGTGGCAGTTTATTTCCAAGACAACCTCAGAGCGACAGCGCTCTCCCTCTCTAATGTTGTTTCCCTGCGAGATAAACATCCGTCTGCTTGTCAGGTGTCGCCGTCCTGTCCCTTTTCCTTCCTTCTGTCGTTGTCCACCCACCCACAAAGTTTATCCAACCCGACCTGTTCCACAGGTGGAGCTGTTCTGAAATAATCTCTACCTCTGCCTCTCTCTGGCTCCACCTCTCCAAGACGAGGACACTCTCTCTGCTCTTTAATCATTAGGTGAAATTAAAGAGTGTGTTGTTAAAGAAATGTGCCAAATAAGTCTGAACAATAAGTAGGATTTTTAAAAGGCTTCTAATGTGATTTTGTATTCTGTCCCACCCACATCTTTCTCCAATATTAAGTTTCATCCTCACTCTCCATACTGACTGCACATGCACACGTGTGTTTTACCTTATTTTGCCTTATTAGGCACCAACAGTGTGTAAGAGATCACCTTAAAGTGATCAGACTTGGCCGTCCATGACCCTGTTGCCCGTTCACAGCTTTTCCATCTTTGCACCACTTCTGCAGATGCTCTGACTCTGTCATCCAGCCATCACAATTTGGCCCTTGTCAAAGGTGCTCAAATCCTTACGCCGCCCATTTTTCCTGCTTCTAACATCAACTATGAGGGCATTAAAATGTTCTCCTGATATGTCAGTCAAAATGCATGTCTAATACAGTCAACACAAGTTGAGTTATTTTAAACAAAGAGATGAAATCACAGACTGCATATTAAGAGAATGAGAACAGAACTAGCACCTTTGAGATGGGAATAATTTACACAGCTGAAACATCAAGAGGAGACTGGACTGTGCAGCTTTTACTAACCAGAGAGCAGGTAATCAAGAGGGTAGCAAAATGGTAGACTGCGTCAAATATTACATTAGTATTAATATCACAATTTAAATGACTGCAGGTGTAATTTTATTTCATTGCCTTGGTACACATCGTTTTGAGAAACCAATCCCATTTTAAATGTGCATTTACTGGAAGCGTTTTGTCTCAAAACCTGCAGTACAAACCTTGGGACAACCGTCAAACAGGCAGGCTCTTACTTTTACAGTTTTGTCAATTACTAACTTGGGGTAGTTAAAACTCTTCACACAGTCAGCGAAACAGAAGTGCATGTACAAAATCTGTGAATCATTTTTCATTGCTTTCACACAATATGCACTTCCTCAAATCTATGAACTCTTAACTTCAGCATCTGCAGCACATTTTTTTACCACGGTGTCCAAAACACAATCATAACAGAATGATGCAGTAACCGGACTGAAATATAGAAAATGGTTGCCTCTATGTTCATACAGAACTGTGTGTAGAACTGCAGTCTGAGTGCGAATCAGGAAATGTGCTTCTATTTTAGCAGACTTGGTTCAGGGGGTTGGTAACTTGAGAAAAACTTCCCTGCAGAACTGACATTTTGGATTAAGTAAATTTCTATGACAATGATAGAAAAAATAAATGATACTGAAGCAAATTCTGCATTTCAGATTAATTCTTGTAACATTTGCTTTGTGAAAACATGTTATTCTTGTACAATGAAATACTTATTTATGTGAAAAATCATTTAGACTGTGCTGCCTGTTAGCTCAGTGTGTTATGAGTGACAATGTGCACTTTCTGAGTGAGAATTGTTGCCAGTGTTTGGTCAAAGTGTTTTGGTGGTTTCAGTGACTTTTGGCCAAGATGCATGTTGGTAATGCAGACTGTGTGAAGAGCTGAAATAAAAAACTAAACTGGTTCGAGGTTATACTGAGATAGTGAATAACTGATAACAGACAATTTAACAAAACATTTTATTGATTGTGAACAGTTCCTACTGCCAGCCACCTTCCCCTGTACACAGCTAACACTTGTTTCTCTTAATTGTACATGAAAATTAACACCATATAGTCAAACAGAGCCAGATCATGAGCCTAATCTACACCAATATGAGAATATGGGCCCTGTGTGAAATGAAGAGACAATACAAAAAGGAAGAGAATGACAAATTCAGTCAGGAGTTTCATCGCCATATTTTCAGCTGGAGTCCGGTTTGGCAGTCACAGTGGCCATATCCGTGGTGAGCAAGTATTTCTAGAAGGGAATGAACAAGGAAAGTGGATTAGACCAGAATATTCTGGCCTCTTTGTGACCAAACAAATGTCTGAAGATGTTGATAAGTTTGCCCCGTTTGACTAAAAAAGATTTCAGTCTTCATGATTTTGATTTCACTGACGAATCTTACTTTACATGCCACTAAAGTTCTTGTACGCTTTCAGGCTTTGTTTAGTGTATTTCTGTAGTGTCAAAATCAGCTACACCAGAAAATAAGTAACTGACTGTGAAGGCATCCTCACCGGACCTGGATCTAATTCAGGTACCAGCTAGAATACTGTACCTTCGCCTGATGACCTGATCTATGTATGATCTAAGATCACCAGTGAATACACTTAAAAATGATAATAAACACCAGGCCAAAGATACCTAGTGACCATTTTTATTTGCAGATACAATCAGAACTGATAACGGTCTCCAAAGGGCCTGTTGTTGTTGTCGTCCTTGACCCAGACGGCTGTGCGTGTTGCCTACCTGTAGGTTCTCGTAGTGTTTGAGGGTTTTACAGTGGCTGATCTCTGCCTCTTTGGTTCCACTGAAGAACCTATTACACACCTTACAGAAGAAACCCGTCTTTGGGATCAAGAACTCCATACCTGTGGACGGACACACACACGATCAAATATATATCCTACATGTAAAAAATCTAAACATAAAAGCAAAACGTCAGAGCAGGGGCCTGTACAACGAAGCAGGGTCGCCGAAGGAAACCGACCGTGTGGGCAACACTTACTGAACCATTGTTTTCTTTTTACAAGCCAGGTTATCCTAAAGTTAGGAGAGTTTCCTTAAGATTTTACAAAGTTAGGATGCTTCTGTAATACAATTTTTCCATCTTAAGTTACGGGGGGGGGGTGGGTGTTGACTTAGGAACTGTTAAACTGTAATAGCGTCAGGTCCTTGTTACCAGATAGTTAAGATAGGATCTGCAGGTTTGGAAGTTTCTGTAACACGGTGAATAAATCAAATTAAATCAAGTGTCTTACCAACTGGCTTGCTGGGGTTGTAAGGAGGGAGGGCGCAGCCTGTGCTCATGAGAGTTTCCGTCTTTAATTTCTTCTCCACACTCTCCTCTTCAGTGTTTGTTTGGTCTTCAGATCTCTTGTGTTTTCCTGTGAGAGGCAGACACATCTTTAAAATCTGGAACTGATGTAAAAAGACCTGGTCTTACTCAGCAAGCTTATCCAGACAACTTTCCAATCAATCGTTTGATATCCTGTTAGCAACTACCTACCACAAGGATAAAGGTGCCATCATGCCATTACGCATAATGAATAAGATCTGTAGGGACTTCGGATGGCTGGATCATCCACATTACCCATCCAATTAACGGATCCACATGAAGATGATTCTCTAACCACTAAAGTGCTGCTGCCATCCATGATTCTGATTCAAAACTAAAAATCAAAGAAGCCGTACCCGTCGTCAGAGCAGGAGCTCCCGTCTCCTTGTCCTCTTCATCTTGCTTCTCCTCCCGTTGCTCCGTTTTGTCCGACACAACCACCGCCGTCGCCGCCGCCGCCGTCTCCTCCGCCTTAGCCTCACTGTGATTGAGAGCGTTGTCCTCTTTCTCACCTTCCTCACTCTCTGCAGTCACTACTCCTGTTGCTGGGCTGTTTGAGGAGGAGCCAGCGAGGGTAGCTGGAGCTGCAGGGGTAGACGTGGGAAGTGTTTCAACCTCAGCGGAGGAGTCCAGAGTGGACGTCAGTGTGGTTTCTAGAAAAATAATTATATTATTATTACTGGTATCAAAGCCAGTCGGTGCCATAAAAACACCCAGCCCTACGTAAAGATGGAGTTTCCTTCAGTTCATTATAGAGGTTAAATCAGTGTGAGGCTGTACCTGCGTCAGGTGTGATCTCAGGTTCTTCTGGATGACATACTGGCTCGTGTGTCTGGCTGCGGGAAGAGTCTGACTGTGAAGCCGGCGAGGGGGGGGCCGCGGCGTTGAGGACCGGACCGGGCGTTAAAACTGATGACGCCGACGTGCCTGAAGTCTCAGCTGTCAGCGCAGTCACAGGTTCAGACTCTGGTGGTCGCTCGTCAGACTTCACCGGGGCAGCTGTGGTGTCCGACGCTGATGTTTCTGCGGTAACCTGGAAACAGAAAGAGGACCGTGAAGTCTCACACGGCCGTTTCTCTGGATGGCGATGGGGGGGTCTGTGATATAGAAGCTGAAACGTACCGCTGGCGCGTCTTGTTCGACAGATGCGGGCGCGTCTTGTTCGACAGATGCGGGCGCGTCTTGTTCGACAGATGCGGGCGCGTCTTGTTCGACAGATGCGGGCGCGTCTTCCCCTCCCTCTGTGGTTTCCATGGGAACAGTGGGAGAAGGAGAGCAAGGAAGGTCGGTCACATCTCCCACTTCATCTACCGTCACAAAGTCACTCATGTTGAACGGGAACTCGTCACAGTCCTCCTCCACCTGATAGTATGACAAGATAAAAAAAAACATTGCTGTCATTCCTGCTCGCAGTTCAGAGATTCAGCTCGCCACTTTCTGACCTGACGCGTCTTCTCACCGTTTTGGTCTCAGCTTTGGAGTTGTGACTCTCTTCATCCCTCCAAGAGCTCTGCCTGTATCCCTCGAACCTGCTCGACGATCTAAATCCCGACAATCCTTCACCGTACGCTCTCTTCCTCTCCCTCCTCTCTCTATCCCTCCTCTCCCACTCCCTTCTTTCCTCCTCCCTCTTCTCCCTCCTGGCTCTTTCATCCCTCTCCCTCTTGGCCCTCCTCTCCCTGGACTCCTTCTCCTTTCTTGCCTCGCTCTCTTTCCGCTCCCTCTCCTGCTTCTTCACCTCTTCCTCTGTGTGGTTCTTGGTTGGCTTTTTTGTCTCCTCTGCTACTTTGTCGTCCTGCTCCGCCTCCGTCTGTTTCTGCCCCTGCTCTCCATTAGTGGAAGAAGCTGCGTTGTTGGCGGTTCTTGTTCGGCATTCCACAAGCAGCGCGTTAACCATCTCTTGGGTAACCTGGTAAAACGGGGATCATAAAAGAGATTCACAAATTTAAAACTCTTAATATGCTGGAGGATCCTGACCTTAGCTGCACAGGAGAACGGTCTGGCTCCAGCGACAAAAGCAGACTGACATTTTCTGGATATTTTACCTTAGGGAGCGGCGGCATGGCCGTATCCTGGGAAACTGCTTTGCCATCAGAGCTAGCTGGCTTTGTCTCTTCACCTGCAGATGTGTTATGTCCCGCTTTGGATGCGTCGACACGGTTTGTCTCTTCTGCCATCTCCACGACAGTTTCAGCAGCCAACGTTTCCTTAACGTCCGTTTCCAAGTCTGCTTCTGGTTTGGTGTCCGGTGCAGCCAAAGACTCACAGACAGGATCGGCAAGCTCATCTTTTTGGATCTTGACGTCGTCGCTCCCGTTTTCTCCCGAAGCGTCGTCTTCTCCGACTGTCTTCTCCGTGCTCGTCATCTTCTTGTCCTTCCCATCACAGTCTTTTTCCATCTGCTCCAATGGAGATTCAGAGTCATCTTTACGTGCCGTCTCCTCTTCCTCTGCAGCTGGCTCACTGACACTGCCCTTGCAACCTGCAGGTGTATCCTACGACCAGAGACAAGGAAGTATTCGGCATTCAGGTGTTTGATGTGGAGATACAAATACAACCACTGCCATTGTAAATGTATAGCGCATTCCCAGTCTTCCGACCACTCAAAGCGCTGTTACAATACATTGCATTCACACACATTCATACACTGAACCAAACAGAACTAGCATTCATCCACTAAAGGAAAAGCCATCGGGGGTAATTCTGGGTTCAGCGTCTTGCCCGAGGACACTTCGACATGGAGCCTGCTCTAACTCAAGAGCCACAGCCGCCCCAATCAATTATGAAAGTTACCAACCTCAGATGAATCAAGGTATGCAGTGATGACTTTGGTCTGGGTGTTGGTTTTGGGGTCAGGCTTGCGGGAGAAGAAGAGAGGGTTGTTCTGGATGATGCACGGAAACGTCTGGAAGCGCTTGTAAACAGAAAGGGCCATGGCTGCGGTCGCCATCTCACAAATAACCTGAGCAGGAAGCAACATAACCTCTCGTCAACACCGTGTGAGATTTTGTTGCCTGATAAATGTCGAGGTGAGACGTGACAGATTTAGAGAGAGAGTGTGGCCTTTAAACCCAGGACACAGTGACTGAGGAGACCAATATTGCGAACATAATGGATTAGCATGTTGCAAGAAGAAGAGACAAAGAGCCCTCACGGTATTGTTGAGCACCAGGGTCTTGATGACGGTGCCAAAGCGTCGCACCAGATTCTGGACCTCCGAGGAGCCGGACATCGTGTTGGGAACATTACTGATTACCAACAGGCTGCTCCAGCTTACTGGAACAGGACTCTCCTGCAGGACGCAAAGGAACAATCAGTCACTTATTAGCCAGGGGATAAACCCTCGTGCATCACCAGCTCAGCAATGTAACAGTCCTATACACACACACACTGCTCGTTTTAGTTCGGCACATTCATTACAGCCACTTCAAACCCTGCATGATATGATAATAACCTTGTAAAATACGTGCTTTTACTATGAAGCAGCTGCAGGACAAGCTTTAGGTTTGTTACTGCAATAATAGCTTATTGTAAATCAACCTTTGGATCGTAAAACACACACTGACAGATCAATTACTATTGTCAAGAGCCTTTTGGCTGATTAGCACCTTTACAGCCAAGTTTAGTGATCGGTAAATCAACCAATAAGTAAAACTGGAGAGACTAAACAGGCAGAAATACTCACTAATGGGTCTGCTGATCCCATCAGGAGATTGTAGAGAGCCACCTGTGTAAAGAGGGTTTTCGTTTTAATCATTAGTTATTGCTCAAGGTTCACTGTTTAACACAAACATTGTTCTATACAAATAATGACAGAAATGCCCCACTTGAAATAGAATATCAAAGAACATGATGCTCATAATGATGATCAATATAGTTTAGAGGATATTCGGGTTTGTGATGAGAGCCCTACCGGTGTGCTGAGGCCGATACACTGCTTGAGATGGATCATCTTCAGCTCAGAGTCTTTAATCTTCGCAGGAATAAAGGTGTGGACTTTCACTATCTCTTGAGCAATATCTGTGTCTGGCACTGACACAAGTACCTAACATACAAAAAGAAGGGTTTTTAATATTGCATTGGCGCCGTATAATGTATTTGTTGAGAGACAGACAGACATTAGCTGCCCTGAAACAATCAAAGATAAAAAATATATATATACTTTAGCCTTACTACATAATAACTACGGAGGCTAAAATACATTAGTAATAAACCAAACAGAAAAACTTTATTTAGTTGACTACTTATGGACATAGCATACACAGAGTTTTATGTTTTGCTTGTGTTGTGGGTCTTCATGATCATTTGACTGTCATATTTAACAGCTGGGTTGTAGCCCGAACTGTCAGAGAAAGCCAACTATCTTGCAAAAATGTCAAAAAGGTATTTAAGACTTGCGTCAGCTGCTGTATTACTGCTGTCCAGCTGCGTCCAGGCTTGAGGTGAAACTCTTGTTTATACCAACCTTTCCAATTTGTGGTGCCAGGATGACGTCGGAGGGAGTGCCAAAGGTCTGGACCAGCTTAACGATGTCACTCTCTGACCAGCCGCTCTCAGGAAGTCCTGTGATCAACAGCATGCCCTTCTGTAGAAGACATGGTATTCAGATGCAAAGAAAAAGCCTGAATACTTTATATACACACACACACACACACACTTTATAATATTTTATTACTAGTGAAAGCCCAATTTAAACATTTTCCTCAGCATAAGCTACAATATTTGGTTGAACACACCCACTAGCCTCTTTCACAATGCTGTTATTTATATTTTACAGGGTATGCTTGTGTGTCATGTACCTCATCAGAAGTCTTCTGGTCAGCTTCACCTGCTGCAGCGGCCAGTTGGAGGAGGGGGAGGAGACAGGGGCCAAAGTGCAAACAGAACTACAATTAGTATGTTTTCAACACCACGACCACATCCTGGTAAAAGCATGACATCCCAAACCTGTCTGCCGTTTGTGATAAGTGGTATAAATTAGATATAGTTATTATAAATTGATGTACTGAGGGTTCCTCGTTTTCCTACCAGAGTCTTCCACAGCAGCACCTTTGTCCTGTCCTGGAGCAGGTTTGCTGTGAAGACAGAAATATTAATAGAGTGCAGCCAAAGCAGCTTTTGAAATTGGCTGGTCAGTGTGCAGCATGTTTGAGTAAAAAGGAAAATGCTTGAGATGATGAACTGTGACAGACCTGTTGTTGGCATCAGAGGACTGCCCTGCTTCAGGTTTCTAAAACAAATAAAGTTAAATGAGTTTACTGAACGTGCAAATGAGACTACATGTCCAAAAGAAAACCCAATTCATTTGTGCTTTTTACGCTCATGCAAAATAAACCAAACCTTTGTGAAAGCTTCATGTTTTTTTGTGCATTGATGGGTTTAAAACAGGACATGCCACAAATACCACCTGCATTGTTCCACAACGGTACCTTGGCTACTGAAGCGGTGATTTGCTGGTCTCTGATGGAGAGATTTGCTGAGTTAGCCAGAGCCTGAGCATCTTCAGCCTTCACCATGCATACAGATGCCTGCAACAGGGGAGGGAGACAAAGTGATGATGTGTGATGACAGAAACCACGGTGGCTTTCTGCGACACAGAACCAGGACATTTTCACAGCCTAACATACCAACAGTTCCTGTTGTTTAGGACTCAGCTGTAGCTACATTGCTGTTGGTCACCGTTGTCACTCCTAAGTTTGCTGAAAATTAATATCCTAAAAAAGGATGTTTGATTGAATATTATTGCAACACGTAATTTTCTTTTAGCCTGCAACATTCACCACATGAGCAACTATTAGTTTGATTTGTATTGCTGCTACACTTCAGCATTATAGCCGTGTCGGCCTATCGGCGTTCTGACTTGTCTCAGGTTTGGTCTTTATGTCGGTTTATAGTCATACGGGGTGTTTGGACCCCTTCATACATGCCTGCAGGTTGCATACATTTCTTGTATTCATCTTGCCTCTAAACAGGCAAAATATTTATTGTTTTACCTCCATCATCTGTTTAAAACTGTTCTTTTGAAAACTGTAAAGTTACATTTCATGCTAATAGCATACCTTTTGCCCTTCTCCCTTCTCGCTCTCTTCCTCGGAGCATGGCATGAGGATCACGTTGTTGATCTTGCCAAAGGACCTGACCAGGTCGGTAACTTCCTGCTCTGATGCGTCCTTTGGGATGCCCGTCAGATAAACCAGACGATCTGCGACAGACGAGTCCTGGGAGGCCGGAGTCACTACTTTCTTCTTTTTCTTGGCTGGTGGAGGCTTGACAGACTGCAAACCAATGGCATAGATTTTAGGAGAAATTGAGTTTCAGCTGACCAGGATCCAAGGCAAGATTTTATTGATCAAGTACTAAAACTGTGAATTTTTAGTCACCACAATGACGTCATTAGCCTTGAGAAAATACTGAAGTCAGCAAAGGGTAAAAAAGATAACTTGAAACTGGAATAATTGAATTGAAGTGTCAAGCCAATAGAAGAATAGATAATTAATCATTTCTAGGATAGTGCCTGAAATCAGTCTCTAGAATCATTAAGCTTCACTAACATAAATAAATACTTGAGCTTGTACTGGCAACACCTCTGATGGGGTGAAAGCTAGTATCTACTGTACTCATGTCAAACATTCAGCTGGTTTGGGATTATTATGATAATGTCACATTGTAAAAGAGCTATACTCCGAGGAGAACTCAACAACATTCATATTAGGAGTCGTCCAATAATAGTTTCATGATATGAATCATGTAACTGCCACAAAGCATGTATGAACATACACTCTATGGACAGAAGTCCTGGGAGCAGGAGCAGCTATAACAGCTTCCGCTCTTCTGTGAAGGCTTTCTAAAAAAAGGTTTTTGGAGTTTGTCTGTGGGAATTTTTGCCCATTCATCCAGAAGAGCATTTGTGAGGTCGGACACTGGCTCACGATCTCCATTCTAGTTCATCCCAAAAGGTGTTAGATGTGGTTGAGGTCAGGGCTCTGTGCAGCCAGTCACGTTCTCCCACAGGCAACTGGGAAAACCATTTCTTTATGGAGCTGGCTTTGTGCTGAACAGGAGAGGACCAAACTGTTGGAAAACTGTTGGAAGAACTATTGTCTAAAATTGTATGGTGTAGCATTAGGTCCCCCCCCCCCCCAAAAATAAATAAATAAAAAATAAAAAGACACCACACCATGAAAAAAAAAAAAAACCCACCACATCCTAAAAGTATTGGGACAGGGGTGTCCCAGTACTTTTGTCCACATTGTGTAGCTGATGTTAGACACACCAGCAGGTGTTTGCGATTGTGTTAATTTTTTTGATCTGAATGTTCACCCAACACATATTTTAGGAATAAAAGTGCTGTTTAGACAGATCATAAAACATTTCCTATTACCATACACGCTGAGTAGGCCAGACGGCCTCAGGACAAAGGAAAAAAAAGTTCTGAATTCTCAAACTCCAAAACATCTGTAATCAACAATTTGCTTTAATCTACACATTTAGATGTGAAATTGTGGCCGAGTTAAATACACTGGGCTGTAAACAACTAAAGTGACACCCACTGTGTCGGCGGCCTTGGCACTTGCAGTCTTAGTCATCTTGGTTCCAGGCCGAGTCCCGCTCTTGACAGTTTTGGTGACCTGTAATGGTCTCGGTTTGGAGCCGTGACCTGCCTTGGAGGAGGATGGATGTCGGCTTGTGTCAGTGAAGAATTTGGCTAAATCATCATGCGGACGTTTCACACCGCTGTGAGAGAAACCACCTGAAGACACGGCATAAAATCAGAGGGAAGGGGTCAGGAGAGCAAAAAGAAAACAGTGTGAAGAAATATGCATAAGCACAATAATTCAATTTACAATTCTATGACTAACACTTAAATCCCTGCATTTGAAAAGGTAAAGCCAGTAATGTTTGGTCGTTTAAAGCCCACATGTGTGCGATATCAAAACATGACTGACGCTGCTAATATTATATTTGAGTTTTTCAAATCTGGGATGAAGGCTTATACAGGTTTGTGAAAATATAGAAATAAATGAACTAAATCCACTGAAGAGACCGATCCCAATTTTAGCAAGTCAGCTCAGGACATCCGTTCCATTATTTCTAACTTTGGAGGGGAAATAATTATTTTATATATTCATGGCATTCTTTTAGTAAGTTCTGCATTTCCACACTTTTTACACGCTGTGCCCACTCCCTAGCACGAGGTCTACCTGTGTAGTGTTGGTGGCGAGGCTGATGGTGAGGAGAGTAAGGCCTTCTGTGAGGCCTGTGGAGATGGGGGCCCACCCTGTGTCTGCTGCGAGGAGGACTAGGGGTAAGAGAACAAGAAAGGGATCGAGACACGGAATGGGATGGAGAGTGATCCTTGGGGTCCCACAGAGCCCGGCTGCCATATCGTCCGCTCCGACTGAATCAAAGACATTCATACACAGACATGCATGACATCATAAAAAGTTTTGTAGTAAGTGTTATAGTTTTACTAGAGAAGTGCTACCGTCAAGATATAGTTATTATAAAACTGATACACTGAGCATTTCTTGACAATGATAGATTTAAATCTGGAGTTTCGCAGACCGTTTTCATTGCAGAGTGAGTTAGGAATAACTAACAAAACTGCTCAGTGAGATCAGATTAGCTTAGCTGATTAGCTGTATGTGCACAGTCAACTTATTTGAAATGTGTGGGACCCGCCGACTGACCGGAGCGACTCACGCTGGCTGCTGGTCACAGCTAAAAACACATTATTGGAAACACAAGAACAAAAGAGTCCTGCTGACCTTGGTAGATTTGGTTTCCAGTCAGGGTACCTTCAGAAACAAACACAAACACCCGTGAGCATGTAATTCAACATCTTCTATACTCTTAAACTTGTGTTTTTATAACTGAATTTACCAAATATAACTGTTTCAATACAAGCTGTGTTTTGCAGCTCTGTATTAAGCTCCATGTTTGCTCAGTATATGGTGAAAAGGATGTTTCTCATGTTTCTCTGCGTCTCTTGGATGTGGAAGTAGGCCCCTGCACATTAACCAATAAGCACTTAAGCTAAAAGCATCTCTGGGTTGTATTTCCAAGTGTTTGTTTCATTATCAAAATTTGCTTTATACAACTTAAATTTTGTTTTGTCTCCTAGTCTATTTTTTGACCCAAAGAAAAAAGCAGAATGTTTTTTTTTAAATAACTATGACATAATACTGAAGAAGCAAGGCATCAGCAGCACATTAAAAATGTCCTCCTCACTTGTTGCGCAGGTCTCTGCAGGCAGCAGTGTGGTTGACGGTGTTAACATGGTCAACCCAGTCCTGAAGAAAAACGACAGATGGGGGAGGAAGATGTCACAATCAGACACATGGAAACAATCCTCAACAAAGCTAAAATTCACATTTCACATGTATGAAGATAAATAAAATAAGCAACCTCTAAAACCAGATAACTTTGATCTACAGTGAAAGACTTTGCACTGAGACAAAGTGGATTTTTAACATGATGTGAAAGTCCTGACTCAAAGTAGAGGCCCAGTTCTTTGATCCAATATTCACGTTCAAATTATGTTCCCACCGCTAGCAGAAATACAATACAGTGTCCTTGGTAGTCATGTTTCGTATCCATTCTACTTTCTATTACCTTCAATGTGACTATCAATCATTTAACATACTATACACATCACAAAACCAATATTTTTTTGTGTTATTGTTTCAAATGCAGTTCAGTTAACCTCTTAAGTTATGTTCCATGGCCTGCAGAGGACGACATTTATTACACCAGTATCTGCTCATCCACCAATCTGTTGCCTATCCTAGGCTATATGGAATTCCGCCACCTGAGACATACAATTTTGTTCAAAAAGAAAAGAAAAAAACCTGCGTTCAACAAGTCTACAATAATTCGGACAACCCACAAGGTTTAGAGTAGGAAACCTTTAAAAAAAATAAACTTTACAGAACCTTAAAGTAATTTTAGACAAAACACACTTCACATTATGCTCGATCATGACATGCAATTGACTTATGATTGGAGGTACTATTTATTCATTAGGCTATAGCCCTAATTTTGATAATGACATTTTTGGAAATTTGGGGAGACCTTAACATGGACAAATATGAATCTTTAAATTGAAGAAAATCTAAGATGAAAGGAATGACCGTTAACAAAAAAGTGATTTTGTCAGAAAATCCCAGATCAAAAATTCCACACTCGCTAAAATTATATGGTTACACTAAACTGTAAGTCACTACTGAGTACAGTACAGAGTACCATTTTAAAAACTTAGTTATTCCACCATCTGAGAACATAAGAAACACCACTACACAGCCAGAGAACGGAGCGTTGGATTTTCTCAGAGAACAAAGGGGATAAAAACCGTTTAAGAATATATTTCTGCTGTATTATACTTTGACAATTCCTGTTTACACCACTTTATTTAACTTAACTGTCCAAACGTAATCATTACTGATTATATATGTATAGCCTTTAACAGATAACCTGGATTCTTAAACATTTTGTAATTAAAATGCCATAGAAAACATTGACTCATTGCCAATTTGATGCATTTCATTATTTATTGGGTCAGGTTATAGCCCAATCCAAGAAAGAAAAACAACTGTTTTATTTTATATGGTGGGGCTAATGTTGAACGATCCCTTGCTTTTTAAATTTTTGATGTAATTGGAATTATTAACCTTACACCTACTGATAATGCACGATTAAATATGCAGTGTTTGCGATTATAACTAAAATGATTAGGCCTACATTTCTTGTTCTTTATGGAAGACCGAAATCTTTGTTCCACTAAGAACGCCACACAAGGATGTGATATTAAGTGTATTTCTAGCTGCTGCACCATCTGAGGCCCCATCTACACTAAAACGAATACAATCTCCGTCCACACCAACGTTTTAGCATTAAAACGGCTGAAAACACATCTAGTGGCCGTTCATGTACACTGGGCACACGTGTGCCGGTGTAAACATGAAGAAGATGATGTACTCCAAAGTTACGTAGTTTGGCGAAAGAAGAAATACAGACGAAGAACCGCACCAGATTATATTTTGCATGGACCAATAATGAGCTGGGACTGTTACTGAATGTAACACGAGAGTTAAAAGCGGCGGTGGCGGCAGAAAACAGACTGGGAGTCATCACAAAGTAAATACGACGACATACACGTCGACAGCGTTTTCAAACTTCTCCATTTTCGCAGCAAAAGGTCTCCGTTTTAAAACGAAAACGCGGTAGTGCGGATGGGGCCTGAAGGCACTTCATCACCAACCACAGGTTTCAGCCATGATGGTGGACACATGCGGTTATCACAATATGGGGTACAAATATCTAGCCTGATGCTTTCAAAGGAAAGCAAAGCATGCTAGCACAGTTCTTTATTCAAAACAAGTTTTGCTGGCTACAAGGTAGCTGGATCATTTAGACCAATTGTACTTATTTCAAAAGGGATGTCCTATGAATGACATCAGAATCACTCATCTTGACAACTGCCTGGTGATGAAAGGCTGCAGACTAAAATTCAACATGTGAAGGTATTCCTTTCAGATATACGAGGGCATGGTGGCACTCACCTTTTCCTGATCACACTGTATGTGGCACAGGGAGCAGGTGTGGGGATACACCTTTGGAGACACAGCTGAGAAATCGCTTATCATGGTGGGGGTTGGTAACTTCTTGCTGCTGCTGTGCGGTTTTGAGCCAGACGAAGAGGAGACAGACCGTCTCGAGGAAGCCTCGCTCCTGGTTTCCGATGAGGGCCTAGGTTTGGGTCCGTCGTGCCTGTAGTCTCGGTCTAAATTACGAGATTTGGATGGTGGTGGAAATTCTCTTCCAGGTGATCGGTGGCTCTTGCGATGGTCGGTGCTCGTCCTGCGATAGTCGCGGTCTCCGTGTTTGCTTGATTCGGCGTGTTCCAAACGAACCTGCCGCCTTTCAGCTTTATCAGCTTTTGGAGCCGACGAGGACAGCGGTGAAGACGGATACATTTTAACTGTCCTTTCACTTGAGAGCTGCTCCCTTTTGAAAGTCTCTCTGGTACTACTCTCATCCTTCGCCCGACTGGCATGACCGTAGTCAATGACTTTACCTGCCGTCTGTGTCACGGTAAGAAGGCTGGGAACGGTGGGAGAGCATGAACGCGCCAATGGTGAAGAGCGGGTAGCAGGCAGCGGCCCATCGTGTACGTTGCGTGAGAACGAGGATGAGGAAGCGGAAGACACAGTTTTCTGGTTGCCCGACTTATTGATTTGGATGTCCCGGAGTATGAATGGTAAAGTATCTGGGGTTAGTTGATCATCAGGGTAGTGACTCAGCACCTCCAAGTCCTCATTTGAAAGTCCAAAGCTAGCCAAGATACTTCCTGCACTCTCTGGTGTGTACAAACCCTGACCATCCCCACCACCACCGCCTCCGCCACGGGGGTGCCGGGCTTGGGGCAACGTTGAGGCACTTACAGGGGCAGTCCAGCTGCTTGTTCCAGCGTGGCTGGTCTGGGGCTGCTGTTGAGGCCCCTGGAGCAGTTGGGACTGGTGGCTAGCACTAGGCGGAGGACTTGCAAACAGTTTAGTTGGAGGTTGGTAGCTTGACCAGTCTACTCCTTGCTGGTGGCCAGGCTGATTATCAGATGTGAGAGCTATCGGGTTAGAGCCGTAACTTCCATGTTGACTGATCCCAGAACCTGAGCCTTGGTTCTGGTGTTGGTTTGATCGGCTCATGTGGTCAATGAGGCGATGGTCCATGTCCCTCGCACCACGGATAGCCAGGGCAGACTCTAGTTCATCAGGGAGCTGGGTGGGACGAGGAAACTGGAAACCCATCATATCAGAAGATGAGCGATTCTGATGCTGATTTGGAGGCGGCTGATGGTGAGGAGGTCTGGGCCCATTAGAGAAGGACTGTTGCCCCTGTTGCTGGGAGGGGTGGTGGTACATGACAGCAGAGAGACACGGCTGTGTGTTTCTGCAAGTTTTGCTGTTTGTGTCCACGTTAAACCCAACAGCTGCCACCTGTTGTCTACTGAGAAAACTCAGGAGGGCCAGGTGAGGAGGTAACGCCGCTGCAAACCTGTTTTGACACTGGTAGCCGAGAGTTATGGTCTCTAGAGTAGCAAGCTGCTGGAGAGCAATCTGTGCCTGAGTCTCAATCTGAGCCAATCGGAGAGCGGTCACTGCAGCAGCACCAGCCAATGGTCCGAGTATGAAATGGGTCCCTCTGGTACTGTTGCCGTTAGAGAACGTTGAACTGGGCTCCAAACGAAGGGTAGGAGCAAGGTGCAAATTACTGTCTGTGCGCACAACAAGGCTGTGAGGTGGAGAGCAGAAATATACTATTACAGGTGAACAGGCTTTACTTTTTCATTTCAGACGTTGCTTACGGATCAAGTCATTTTTCTCCACGCACTTTTCTAAAAACAAGTTGGATCAGTCCTCGTGTTGCTCGCCATATCTTCCCTTTAAAATTTGTCAAAAGGGTTAAGAAATGTGGTCAGCCTCGAGATCTCTTTTCTGTAGTCAAGTGCGTCCACCGTGTTTTTCTTTCAGGACGGAAAAGCAAAGCAACATTAACACTGATTCAATAAAAAGTAAGAAAAGCCCAAACAGCAAATATAGAATGAACCTTCTGGGACTCTACAATGACACAAATTCTGGACATAATAGAAAAAGAAAATATCTAATAATGCTAGCCTACAATACATGTTCAACATTACAACATACTGGACACCGTCCAAACATGGCTAAAGCCTCTTTGCCAAAATGTTCACAGCAGAACAAGCACATTTTCCATGTAAATTCCCTCCAGGTAACATTAGATCATTGCAATGTCAAAAATATATAAATTACACTTATAATGTCCTAGAACAGACTGAAAAACAAACAAGTAGACAACTATAGTGCACTTTTCTTTGCTAAAAGCCAGTAAAATACAAATCATAAAATGGAAAGCATTAACTAAAGACGAGAGCAAAATGTATGCCTGTTCAACATAAACACTAAATATGTTTTGCAAGACTTACGGAAGAAAGCAAGTCCAGTGAAGATAGACTGAACACCGAGATTGATTAATCTAACCATTTATATACATATCTACATAGATATGGATAAATAGATTTATTTATACACAGACTATCATCAGACATGATAAAGGTCGGTGTAATCAAAAAAATGATGTAGCTAATTTTTGGAATCAGTATCTACCTTTTCTTATTTTATATATCCTGTAACTGAGCCCATCTTGGGATGAATGGATGGTTGTTTTTTTCCTTCAACAAGTTCCACCACAGTCTTCAAACTGATTTAATTTTAGCAATAGTGTCAAAGTGTCACTCATGTAAAGCAGTGAAGATATTAGTCTACCTCGTCATCTTGTTGTATGGGGCATAAAATCCAGTTGTAAATGCGTGTAGCGCGTCATAAATAGACCCAAACATAGGCCGGTGCACAAAATCAATGTGAAGTTTTCCAGTCTTTGAAGGTTTCCTATTAACAGACCTGACTGAGCAACCTTTGACCAAATATTAAACCACAAAGAAAGATGCTGGTTAAGGATGTTAACTGGCCAAATACTTCAGCGATGTAACATTTAACTGAAGAAAATCTATCATGCAGGTTGACATGTCATTTCCAATACAAATAAACAAAAAGAAAAAGAGGGGGGCAAAAACATGGTCACAAAGAGAATGGTCCCATACAAAAAGCACATCAAGATGATGAAGCAAAAACATTCAATATCTTAGTGCTGACTTCTCAACATGTTGAATCAACGTAACTATACCATCAACCTGCATTTCCTCGACAGAAAGACATGTGCATTAATGGTCTGAACAGGCACACATGTAGATTTAAAGCACCGCAGGGAAACATTTAAAGTTCCAAAATGTGATTTCTAATATGGTGTAAACTCATTTTTACAGTATATAACCACAGAAGCGCATGTAGACTACAATAGTCAACATATCACTGTCAGTAGAGAAAGAGGATCATTTAACTTAATAAAGTTAGTGAACTTAAAAATGACCTACCAACAGACAGCTGTCAGCACTGGGGGGGTTAGAAAGCTGCGAGTATGGCTGATTTCACTCTGTAGTTAGTCGCATTTTAAAAAAAGGTATTCTGGTAAAACTCAGTTATACTACAGTGCTAATATATTCAGATCCAGCTCCGTGAGGTAACTGCGTTTATGGCTGCCAGAGAGCCGCTGCATGGCGCACTCGTCTGCAAAGATCTCAGTGTTTCTGAACCAGGACGATTTGCAACTGTTACATCCCGGCTAAATGCTCACGTGCAGTCTATGTAATCCATACAACACACACACACACACACACGCGCATACACACACACACATGTATATATTATTATATTATATATAACGTTACTCAACAGTCCTTATGATAGAATAGATGCTGCATTTGTTGGGGACCAGGAAATACGCGTCCACCCCACACATACCAGCCATTTTGGGTGATTTCACAGCTAGCTAACGTTAGCTACCCAGAGGAAACCACATCAACTGTTCCGTAACATTTTCAGTGTATTTTACTCCGAGTAAATAAAACACTCGATAAATACCTTCACAATGAGTCGTTGTGGTCTTTGTTGTTACCGGAAAGTCGATTCCTTACAGCCCGTAGTTTTTACTGTCTGCTTGACGGTCGAATCGTTTTTCTTTTTCTTTTTTTTTTGCTTAGGAAGGTTGCTTCAAAGTGAAGCGACCCGGAAGTATTTATGTGGCAGCCAATGACATCATCAGATGCTGAAGGAAGGGCGCTTCAGTGCTTCGTAGGATGCATTGAAGCGCCCTTCTTCTTCTTCTTCTTCTTTAGGGTTTAATGGCGGTTGGCAAACCAGTTTAACGGTGCATTACCGCCACAAGCTGGACTGGAGTGTGGAACGAGAGATTAGGCAGGAAATAAATGAAATAAACAAAACCAAAACCAAAAAAAAAAAAAAAACAACAACAACAAAAAAAAAAACCAAACAAAAATAAACATAAATTAAATTCTTTTTCCTAACTCAGTTTCTTTAAGAAACTTAATTATATGACAATATATCTGGCCTGCTGTTTTCCCCAAGAGACCCGCCAATGAGATATCATGATGTTTTGCCTTCCGTAATGACTGAAAGAGGCGTTCCCTATTGATAGTGTATCTCCTACACTGAAGGAGAACATGTTCAACCGTTTCTAGTTGGTTACAATATATACATTTCCCAGTTGGGTGCTTACCTATTTTATATAATGAAAGGTTGAGACCTGTATGTCCTATTCTCAGACGAGTGATTATATTTTCTTCCCTACGTTTCCAGCCCACCATCCTTCCGGCACCAACCTGTCTCTGTACATTATATAGGTGCCTTCCAGTTTCACTGTTGTCCCAGTGCTCCTGCCAAACTGACTGTGCATAGGTCCTGATAAATGTCTTAGCTTCATCTTTAGTTAAAGGGGTTTTTAGGTCTACATGTTTGATTTTGAGTGTTCCTTTGGCCAGAATATCCACCTGCTCATTTCCCTCCACACCAACATGAGCAGGAACCCAAAGGAAGCATGTGGATCATCCCTTTAGCTCCATCCTGTACAATATAAGGAATATGTCATTGAGGATTTTGGATCTAAATGATGATTTGCCAGATTTAATACTCATTAGAGCAGACAAGCTATCAGATGCAATGACAGTATTATTTGTTTCCCTCTCTTCTATCCACTGCAGGGCCAGTAATATTGCAGTCAACTCTGTGGTATACACTGAGACATGATCTGATATTCTTTTCTTGATATATGACTCACTTGCTGGGAAAAAGACTGCTGCACCTGCACGCCCTGTATCAGGATCTTTGGAGCCATCTGTGAATATAAACATGGAGTCTGAAAAATGTAAATCAAAGTAATTCTGTACTATACTGCATGCTGGAAGTTTCTTTGACATATCCTTCAACTCCTGCTGTATGTTTAGATCTACAATTGGTGTTGGGAATAACCAGGGAGGAATGGAAGACTGTGACACTGTAGGGCTGTAGTCTAATTGTCGTAATCCTATGACTTCTGCCTTTGCATCACCAATCCACCCAAAACTTGTGAAATTTGTCTCATTGTGTTCCCAGCAATCTATTAAGAGACTCTTGGCAGGATGAGAGTCACATTGCCCCTGGAGATTAACCCAGTATGCCAACATTAACTTTACTCGCCTGATTCTTAACGGCATTTCTCCCATTTCCACCTGCATTGCTGACACCGGAGATGTTCTGACTGATCCACTGCAAATTCTCAAGGCCTGAGCTTGTAATACATCCAACTTCTTAAGGTTTGATTCTGCTGCTGACATGTACGCTACACATCCATAGTCAAAAACGGATCTCATGAGTGCCCAGTATATATTTTGTAGAGCTGCTCTGCTTGCTCCCCACTCTTGTCCTGACAGACAACGAAGTATATTGATGACCTTTTTACACTTGTTCTTAACTTTATCTAAATGAGTATTCCAGGTGAGCTTCTCATCAAACCAAACCCCAAGAAATTTAATTGTTTTGACTTGCTTAAGTGGTTGTTCATATAACTTCATGGAAATAGGCGTGACTTTATGCCGCCTTGAGAAACAGATCACCTGTGTTTTTGCAACAGATAACTTGAATCCCCATTTATTTGCCCATTTTTCCACAGCAGCTATTGCAGCTTGCATTTTCTTACTGACGTGCAACACATTGCGGCCTCTTACCCACAGAGCCCCGTCGTCTGCGTACAAAGATTTCCCTACGCTTTGTTCAACCTGAGAGAAGATGTCATTTATCATTATGTTGAATAGCAATGGGCTGCACACACTACCTTGCGGAGTTCCATTTTCCACCTTATATACACTGGAGTATTCTGTGCCAACTCTTACTTGTATTTCCCTGTCAAATAGAAAGTTCATAACCCAATTATATGTTCTACCACCAATACCCAATGACTTCAACTTAATAAGTAACCCTTCTTTCCAGAGCATATCATATGCTTTTTCAACGTCAAAAAATACAGCTATCAGTATTTTTTGTTGGTCTGTGCTTTCCTGATGTCTGATTCTAGGCACAGTACTGAATCCATTGTATTCCGACCTCTACGGAACCCACTCTGGTACGGGTACAGAAGAGCTTTACTCTCTAGGAAGTATGTTAAACGCTCTGTGACCATTCGTTCCATAATTTTGCACAAGTGTGAGGTTAATGCAATAGGTCTATAACTGGAAGGGTCTGACTGATCTTTTCCTGGTTTTGGAATGGGCACTATTATTGCTTGTTTCCAAGCTAAAGGAAGTTGGCCAACATCCCAAACTTTATTAAACAAACCCAACACCGTGTCTAGTGCACTATCTGTCATGTGTGCCAACATTCCATAACATACAGCGTCCTTCCCTGGAGTGGTCTGACGAGCACTCGTAATTGCTCTTCTTAGCTCAAACATATTAAACGGTAGATCTAACGGATCTCCTGACACCTCCCTTTTCTCTGTTATTTTGGGATTCTTCATTAAGATTTCCTCTCTACACTGCCTAGCCTCATCTGTGAGATTACACGAACTATGAACCCTTTCAAATGTTTGTGCAAAAAGTTCCGCCTTTTCTAAGTTATTGACAGCCATTTTGTTCCCAGTGTTCAACACTGGTATCTCATAATTTCTTCTAATCCCCCCATTCTTCTAATCATGCCCCATACATCTGACAGCTGTACTTCCCTTCCAATAGTGCTACAGTACTGCCTCCAAAATGTTCGTTTTTGTGTTCTAATTGTCCTCCTTACTATTGCTTGGGCCCTTTTATACTGGATCAATGCATCCTGAGAATGATGTTTCTTGAGTTCTCTAAATGCTTTATTCCTGGCCTTTATGGCTTTACTACAGTTGTCATTCCACCAGGGTACACTCTTGGTCCGTTTAGTTCCTGTACTCTTAGGGATTGTTTCCTCAGCAGATTGAATAATCTCATTAACTATTGTACTATTGATTATGTTTACATCTGTCTGGTTCTCCTCTTTGAGTTTCTTGAATCTGTTTGTACTGATCTTTTGAAAAACATCCCAGTTAGCATTTCCCAATTTCCATCTGGGAGTTTTCTTTCCCTCATCATAAAAACCTTCAATGCCAACTTTAGTTACCACAGGGTAGTGATCACTTCCTATTGTGGTATGTTTGATCACGCTCCATGTGCTTAAACCTGCTATTTCACTAGACACCAGTGTTAAATCAAGCGCTGCCTCTGTGCACACTATTGTATCGTGTTCCTTCCCCATTATTAATACATACCAAACAGTGATTATCTATAAATTCTTCAACTGCTAAACCATTTAAATCGGTTTTATTGCAACCCCATAGTGAGTTATGTGAATTGAAATCCCCACACCATATCACATTATCTTGCAATAGTCCTCCTACATTCTCTAGTATATCTAGACTTATTTTCCCACAAGGATTATAGTAATTAATTATGCCAATATTACCTCTATTAGTCCATACCTTAACCGCAATTGATTCATGATCTGTGCTTATACGTATAACCTTATAACTCATTCCATTTTGTATGAATGTCACAACGCCTCCACCGTTGCCAGGATTTCTGTCTCTCCTAACAGCAGTATATCCCTTTATAATAAAGTCCAACTGTGGCTTTAACCATGTCTCCTGTATACAAATTATATCAGGTTTCTCTTCCAATTTATCAATATACTTTTTGAACTCTTGGCCATTTGAAATTAAGCTTCTTGCATTCCACTGGAGTATAATTAGCACCATTAAGAGGATCCAACACATGTCTGAGATGACTGATTATCTTCATTAAGAATGTCTTTAACTGTTTCCCAGTGCAGCCCCCTCACATCAAGGTACTTCTCAGCTGATTTGACAATTATTTTGATCCTTTCATTTCGGCTTTTTGTCTGTGCTGAACAGTTGACAATATCTGCCATAAAGAATACAAAGTCATTCTTGTTCACAATCAGAGTTTCCTCCTTCACTTTATCGCACCCTACACATTTCCCTGCATCTTTATTTCTAGTGTCATTTTGCCTCGTCACCTGCGCGTCTCCTGAAACCTTCTTTGCTGCCTCTGCGTAGCTTATTCCCTGAGTAGCCTTGACTCGCTGCACCTCTGCCGCTCTCTTACTAACTTCGCATCCGCGGTAAGCTGAGCTATGTTCTCCTCCACAATTACAACACTTCAGCTTTGTCCCCTCTGCACATTTGCCATACTCGTGGTTTCCACCGCATCTACCACACGTTTGCTTTCCCTTGCACACGGATGCTACGTGTCCGAACCTCTGACATTTAAAACATCTGAGAGGTGGGGGAACATACGGCCTCACATCATAACACATATATCCAATAAAGATCTTTTCCGGGAGTCTTTCCTCATCAAATGTGATCAGTACAGAGAGACTGTCACTTTTAATCCCATTTCTGCTTGCTTTAAGACGTCTGACTTCACTCACTTTGGCATTTGTTACATTTCCTTTAACATCATCTGCTGTTACATTTACTGGAATCCCTGTAATAACTCCCCTGACCAATTTTCTGTCAGTCATCAGAGAACATTGTACTTTCTTGCCATTTATTTTATTCATTCTGACTGCTTTTCCTTGTTGTACTCCATCCTTACATATAATTAGTAATGATCCATTTCGCAATATTTTAGCACTCCTTACCTCCCCGATTTCTTTACTTATG